TTGCACACATAAATTGCACTGGCAGCACGGAGAGCACTTATCGAAATGTAATGTCGCTCCGGGGAACAAAGACGAATAAGTGAGTAAGTAAATAACACTCAAGTGCACATTTGAGGATTGCAGCGATGCGAGTCCATTTCTGTGTGATTAAAGGTCAATGAGATTGCTGTTTTATGCATTTAACCTCATTGTGTTGAACATTATTGATCGTGTAAACAATCAATCTAAAATAATGTTTGGAGTCAGAGGTCAACCTTAACATGGTGTCCACAGATGAGCGGGACAGTTCTTTATCCCGTCTTTATCTTGTTGTGCAGCCGGTTTTACATTGAATTATGTATAATTAGTAAGCCATTAAGAGTTTTAGTATTTTGGCATATAAATGTACAAATAGGTCGGTGGAGTTGATGAAGATAATGAAGATATTGTAGTTATAAACCACTGTTGTGTCACTTTCTTCAAGCAAATGTAAGTTCTATGAAACCTTTTCTATTCAGTAAAGTCACTCAAGCCAAACAGGTCAGTCACCACAATGAGGTGTAATTTAGAGCTCTGCTTCCAAATGATCACACTGAGCTGTCATTGGAAGACGCAAACATTAATTTGTACTTATTGAACCGGTTAAAGACCATTTCAGCACAATACCAACGTTGAGTGTTTGCTTCATCGCTCCTGGAGGACATTAAACGTTGCTATTGAGCGGACTAATTAAAATCACAAATCAAAATCTCCTGTTTTTTTTTTTTAAACATTTATTGAGCTTCACAGATTAGTGTTTATTACTTTTGTTGATTTGCTGAATGAAGTCATTAATGTCACCGTCTGGCGGGTGAAGCGGGAGACACTAATCCCTGATTCACATCTCGGCGAGTGAATGTGAGACAGAAATCCCTCAGGTGGAGCCTCATTTAAATACTGATGCAAAAAGATTTCAGACACTGTAAACTGAACAAAGATTATTTTAGCCGTGCGAGCACCGTGGCCCCGAGGAGGGCGATTCTAGTTGGTCGAACAATATTTCCACAATTATCGCATGCCTTGCTATCACATTCAGTTCATTATCCTGTTTTGCTTGGTGGCCCTCTGGCTTTTCTTCTCGGACGGTCAAACGGTGCAGACATTCGTGCTCCCCTGAGGATGACCATCGTCAGGGTCACACTGTTAATTGCACGTTGCATTTAGTGAAATTTAGCAAACGTTGACATGCTACATACATAACAAATAACCGTGTTAGAAATGCCTTAAAGCCTCACAGAGACGCGGACTCTTGAATCCCTTCAGGACGGACAAAAGGATTTCATGAATGGAAAAAGAGATTTGAGATTTACTGTAAGGAAGTGACCTCCTGATATAATATTTTATTACATTTTCCCATCTGTTTCACTGTTCAAAACAGACATCTGCTCTTTCAGATATAGAACAGCCCGCGATAGAAAACAACTGTGTGCGCATCGAGGTTTGGCACTGCCAGGAAGACGGATGACGTAAACACAGTAGTCCCACCATTTACTGTTAAGGTTACATTTCAAAAGCTTATGCTTCAAGCGACAGCCAAGAAAATTCTATCGACCCAAATTTGTCGGTCAGAGCCGATGAAAGTCATGGGATGATGAGAGAAATGTGAGAAACACGTCATTGAGCAACTCTGTCCCAGCGAAGAACCTCCACACTTCAGAAGGCTTTTAATGACGTACTTGTTTGGAGCTCGCCAATAAACCGTCTCTGAATCTGCACGGGAATACCGGAGGCACGCGGGCACATTTTGATTGGTTGGAGGTGATTCCTGAGCTCACTGTGCAAACAAGACAGGCTCAAACACATTTTGCCTTCGACCTTCCAGCGCCTCTGGATCTCCTCGCTCTCTCGATCGATTCCCTCTCCAGTTAAGCTTTTACTGCTGCTGATGGGTCAGTTGGGGCGTGGGGGGGGAGGGGGGGGGGGGTGTTTCATATCCGGTATACGCCCCCACTTTCACACCTACCACTCACCCTCCAGACATCAATATTCCCATGACCCTCTGAAAAACAACCCCTCTCCTCCGGCAGGCCCGACCGATGCAACTTAGCATAATCAATATCTTCAATAAAATAGGAGGGATACGTTGGCGTAGAGACCTCCTAAGACCCCACCAGATCTCCCCCTCCCCAAACGTAGGTGTTTGCACCAGAGGCAGCGGCTGATTGAGGATCGATAGCAGGAGGTTGACAAGGACAACAGACAAGGACATCTCGGCAAATGAAGACGATTCAGCGGCCCCGTCTTATCTATCGGCTCCTGTCTTCTTTATCTAATTTGGCAATAGAACAACAACAACACAGAATGCAACACACGGGCATTTCTTTTATTCCCACAACGCCGGCGGCGTGGGTTGAGATTTCAGGCTGTCCCGCCAGCAATGACCTTTCCCGAAAAAATGTTGTTGTTTTTTCCTCATTCCATACCCTTTCTGATTTCTATTGAGGCGAGAAAGGCCGGCAAGTGGCTCATGAAATGTCGCCCTTCACCGGGCTTCAGCCGAGAGGACGCTCACCTGTGACTTGACTGACAGATAGGGACATCCCGTGGGGACCTGGGAGGCACGAGGAGGACAGGGATGGCCTCCTTTTCCCGGCTTTGGTGTTGTGTCTAACGCAGCTCCCCAGTGAGCGAGACGGAATTTCAAAAGCGCCCGCAGAGGAGAGATGAGCTGCACAGATAAGCAGAGAAGGTGAGCGAGCTCATCCTGCTGTCACGCCTCGCAGGCACACAACACAATTGAGATTGTGTAACTATCTGATTTGACCAAAGGCTGTTTGAATTGTCCTCTTTTCACCGCGCTCGAGACCCGAGCCGTGGTCAGTGATTCACACGTCTGGTAAAAGACAAAAATATGGCATTGAGATATTGTGTTGAGGATTAAGCACAACTGTCATTGTGGAGATAAGACTTTAAGACATTTATGAATAATTCCACCCAGTCGTGGCACAGGAGATTAATCCACAGACGAAATATAATCCATTGTGTCAGGGACAGCTGATATATTTTGTAAGCACAAGCTGACCCACACACACGCGCACGCACGCATGCATGCGTGCACGCAGTCAATAGAGCCCCCCCGCCTTGCCAGCTGCGCTTCGGGCACGCTGAACCCTTTTCTGGGTAACGTGATCCTGAACTGGGTGGCACTCACAGCACGGGAGCATCTGCTGTGGGACTGTGGAAGCAGGACAACTGTGTCCCGGTCACATGCTATTATGTGTGATGAACGCCAAATCTGAGCCGGATGGGTGGATGGACGAGCGTCAACGATCACTCCTCAAAACAGCCGACGGGGTCAAATATCAGAAGTCAGTAAGGGTCTCGCGGCTGTGAGCTTTCTCTTTAGATGAGGTTGGATTTTCAACCCATCGGATCGGATGGAACATTTTCGCAAGGCTGATAAAATCCCAACATGTCACTGTAGTATTTCATTGGTCCCATGCTGCTGAACCGGCCTCTGCTCACAGATCTCCCTCCAAATTCCTCAAAAGTCCTTTGGGTTCCTAGTCACCGCTCGTACCCCCCCCCCCACAACCAACCCTGGAATCCTGCTCCACCAAACCAGCCAACGCCCCCCCGGTGCCGGGGTGAGCGCTCATCTGCTGTCCTGGCACGGCCGCGCTCACATGAAGATTAAGTACCTGATCTCACAGCACGCTGCTGGCCAAACTAGACCGCCAGACGCTCGCTGGGCTCACGCTAAAAAGTAACAAACACTTGGCCGTCGCAGCAAGAAAACTGCGACTGGCGGCAATTTCCCCAAACAGGTGATCCAGATATCAGGGAAGTATGCATCCCAAAAATGACTCAGCCAAACCAGCCGGACCCGCTAGTCCACGTACCTGCCACCGGCCTCCAGAGGACGTGATGGATTGGACCACACTCCAGCAGCTGGGCTGGAGGTTTATGCAGGAAGAAGCAACACATTTAATTGTTTTTCTCTCTGTACCCAGAAAGGCTTATGATTAATTATTCAGCGAGTCCTTTGACGTCCCTGAGGTGAAAGCAACATCTGTCATTTATTTCAAGCACACAAACTCTCAGGGAATCAAGTCACAAAGCCATTATGGTCTCATGTTTCCATTCGCAAGTCTTAGCACACCTGCTGTTTACAAAATAGGGGATGGGAAAAAACAGTGTCGTAGAAAAAGGTTGTTATCTTCGTCTTGTCCTGCGGGAGCTCAACAAATGTACTGTTAATAATAATTGGCTTTTGTCCGGAGAACGAGGTGCTCTACGTGTATCTTCATTTCCAGGTGTTCTAGAACACAAAATCATACGTCATCTTTTTACCTATATTCCTCTAGTTAGTCTTTCTCTTGCAGCTTACAAGTGGACGTGACCTGCAACTTTTACAATTCTATCATTTAGTTTTCAAAGCTCACTTGAAGAGGTAGATGAAGGGGTGGATTGAAATGTGCAGACCGTATCATGGAGGGATATTTCATCATTTTTAAGTATTTTTAAGTATTGCTCCACGGATCGTGTTCATAAACTTGTGTATCAATTTTCATTTGACTGACTAAAAGACTGCAAGTTTGTGCAAGGACTGTCTCTCTCTTACATTTCGAACTTGTTAGGAAAGGATCACAAGGAAAAAGCTCTTCATTGCACATACAGACATGTACATGAATACTTTTACAAGAAAAAAAAAGTAAAATGAGAGGTTTGACAACTCCCCCACATCTGGATTAAAAGAATAAAGCAAAGTAACTTATAGAATAGAAAGTCTAGCTCGAACGTAACAATGTCTTTCAGGCCCGTTAATTGACTGGTTATTGTTAAAAATGATGAGTTGTGGTTATACGGTTTGTTTGCAGGAACTATTTCTTTCAAAAATGCTTTCCTTGCATTCAGTCCTTATGCTAAGCTAATCGTCTCTCCAGCGTAGCATTCAGCGTAATATTTATCTTTCTTTCATATTTCCAAATAAGGAATTGGAAAAAACAAACCCAAAGAAATTAAAATAAAAACATAAACCATCCTTTAACAATGCTGTGTTTTAATCAAATTAAAATGAGCACATAATCCTTCGGTCAATTTTCAAATCATTGCTTTTGGTTAACAATGCTAGAAATAGAACGACATTCAAAGCACAAAAATCACATATTTTTACAACTACATTTATTAAAAAAACAAACCCAAATTAGAACAAAATTTGAAATAAAAAAAAAAAAGCAACCAGTGTCCCACCAGGGATGAGACCGTTAACGGAGAGACATTTTCAAAAGCATACAAACCAGCAAACTGTATTCTAGCAGCATCCAAATGTTGGAATCTCCAAAATCATCATTTATATATTTAAATATATAGTTGTTGTTTTTTCGCCCTGGCAAGCTACACACTTTACAACATACAGAGCTTTATCTCTCCTTTGTGCAGAAAAATAAAGCTTAATTAAATAAACAACTTTAGGTTAAATAAGCTTAAATAATAGTGTTAAATACAAGACACTTCTGTGGCAGATATGTACAGAAATAAACACATTTGGCATCGTAAGTGTGGTTCACTGGTGCTTGCTCTGATGCTCTAGAAACCACTGCATAAGAAACATTATGCTGCGCTCTCTCCAACACACGCACGCACGCACGCACACGCACACACACACACACACACACACGCACACACACGCACACACACGCACACACATGCACACACACACGCGCATCCACCAGTCATATATACGATTTTATCAGTGAGCCACAGACAAGGCATGTGTTTTTAAAAGAGAATTAAAAGCATAGAGAAACAATCCATTTACAACCAAGAGTTTCAGGCACAGTCTCTTCCTGTTTTATAAATACATGTCCAGTCCAACGGCGGAACGACAGGAACTCTTCACGTTTGTGCTAACTTCTTTTTTTCTTTTCTTTTTTTAACACAGTTTTGTAACTACCACTTCATTATTGCTAGGACATTGTGACAGTGATTGGAAACTACTGACAAACATGTGTAGGGAAAGCACCTTTAAAACATCTAAATTACTGCCATGTGACCCCACATTACAACACTGAGGTAAAGAAAAAGTGGAATTCATTGAAAGAAAAAACATGGCCCAAAACATCAAACCTTGACAGCTTTTGGGGACTTTAGGACCCAGTAATCCAGAAAAAAAGGGTCTCGGTTGAGCTACATTCATTTCCACCCCCCCACTGTAGATTTCAAAGACCGCCACATGTGGATTCCTCTCGCTGCAAGGAGACAGTAAGTACCACTTCATTATGTCCAGTACATTCCTCCCCCCTTCCTCCCCTCTCGGCTTTCCTGTGTCCGTGCAGGCCGGCCCAGAAACAGCTGTGTGACAGTGTGCGCGGGACGATACAGTACAGCTGAGTATACAGTACAGTGGAATGACGTGACATACGCAGGTAGATTATATGCAGACTACAGTAAATGAGCTTTACATTCCACTACTGTAAGAAGATCCTGGGGACTTGGGGGGGGGGGGGGGGGGCACGGGGGGAGGGGGCACTCCTAATTCCTCTCCAGCAGAGGAGATGAGGAGGTTTCCAAAGAGTCTCTTTAAAAGGGATAAAGAAACTTAACGTCAGAAACAGCCGTGCACTTCAGACAGAGGAATCCCAAAAACTAAGGTCCTCATTGGGATTTTGAGTCCTCCCCCCTCACAGGGCTGCACTAGAGAACCTTTTCTAAGAGTCTTCATCACTCTGGTAATGGTCTGTTTGCCTGGGGATGATGTGGTGGTCGTACATAGGAGTTGCCCGGCTGCCTGGGAGGAGTGATGGCCTTCTCTCATCTCAGGGCTTCTTGTCAATGCTGTGAAAGAACCACTCGGTGAACTTCCTGAGCTGCGCCGACGCCGTCTGGCTCTCCTCCTGCAGTCGCATGTTGTCCTGTCTCAGGTGTTGCACTTCCTCCTGCAACATCGCCTTATCCTCTTTCTCCTGAACACACAATCAACACCAGGACGGGAGATTAAAAATAGATGGATAAAAGCCCCGCTGTCGTCAGCGTCCTGTAAATGGGAGGCATTAACGTGGCAAAGCAGCCTTTTCTCTGCTTTTATAGAGGTGCACTTCCTCTCTCCATAAGTTGGGCCGGGACACAATGAGGGAAGGAAGCAGGATATTGCACTGAGTGGACAAGTTTGTATTACAGAGGCCGCGGGGCAACCATTACTCACTGTCCATTTCCATGACCCGCGTGACACATTGTTTGCCAACGTGGAAAAGGTGAGGACGGCGCGTTTGATAAATGCAAACTCACCTTTCTGAGGTCGTGCTGCAGCTGCCTGAGGATCACCTCCAACTGGTTGACTTTGCCAGTTAGTGTGGAGGGGGGGCCGCTGTTTGGGACACAAGAAAGGACGCTGTTGACAATCGCGAAGGACTCATTTACCGTATTACCGGTACACGATGTGCAGCAGCTGGTGATTGACAGTTAGCTAAGTCGTGGTCTCATGGTCTTTTATCGACTAACTGTCGCTAGGAGGCTTCACCAGCTATCCGGTCTAAGCAGAAGCTAACAGCTAATAGTCCACTGAAAGCTCTGTTTTTAAATGGTAAGCCTGTAAAAAGGTCTTATTATATGCACATTTCTAAGTGGACTTGTAAGTACAAGAGAAGCATTGTTGAAGTACTGCAACGTAGCCTCAGAATCTATGATTAAATACATGAAATGTATTCAAAATGGTACTTGTTCTCACATAATCCTTGAATGGTCTGGATTCACTTAGAGCCTTTGAACAGGGGGTAAAGTAGTTAAGAGTCACGCTTTAATGCATTTTCCAAAAGGATTTTTCCAATGCTATCTTAAAGCACATTCCCACAGAATAATGTACAGAAGTTAGCTAATGACATGACGATGCCTTTGTGGATTACACTGACATAGCGCTCGCACAGTGAACATACGCAGTTGTGTGCATGTAGATACAGTGTACGATCCTGCCCTGCCTTCTTATGACTGCTACGCTATGACGGGACCATGGCGGTTAGCGAAGAGTCAATCATCCGCTTGCTACGGGAGCGCTCGCGTTGGTCAGGGAAGCTTACTCTGCTCCCAGTGCCGCTCCCTCCGCCTCCACCACCCGTCTGGTCAGCTCCCTTGAGATCCGCAGAGCCTCCGCCCGCTGCATGTCCGTCATGGTGCAGAAAGACGCCACGCGCTGGTCTGGGGACAGAACAGGTGACGTAACGGGTCATAATCTGCCCTTGTGTGGAGTGTGTGGAGCAATGCATTTCACGGTGTCAACATGCAAGTCAAATTCGGAGCGGAGCAACACAATCGCATGCGCACATTCCCGACAGGATGGGCCGATTCATTCACGCTTTGTGTGAATGGGTGGTTGTGGTTTCAGCGCCGCCGCAAAGCCACCGAAAGGAAGTTCCTCCCACACGGGGAGATCCGCGTGCAGGAAATGGGGAACAAGGTGGGGAAAAGGAGCCTTTTCCACCACGTCGCCGATAGGGAGCAAGTCCCTCGGGTGTTGCTCCGGTGCCCTGGCCCGTCTGAGCTTCCTCTGACAGCTGTTTGGCTCGTAACGGACTTGGATCCCAGAGAGCCGCGAGGCAGCAGTCATGCTTGTTTTACCATATCAGGCCCTTAAGCCCGCTCAAAGCCCCATGGAAAACCCAAACTTGGCATGTTCCGCTTGGGGACTGCTCAGTTTTGAGTAATGCTCTTTTCTTCAGAAACCAATCACTCTCTCTCAAGCCCTTGGTCTGAGACTAAAGATAGGAGGATCAGCATATTCATAGAAAAGATTAAGGATACCCGTCCATTATTTTAACTCCCCAAATGAAAGCTAATCCACTTCAAGACAAAAGCTGATCGAGCCCGGAGCTGGTTGCTCAGACGAGGTAGGAAAGGGAGAGCAGGCTTAAATTTACATATGAATGAACATTTTCCTCGTATGAGACGCCTGCATTAGAAAGATTAAAGACTCCTCGGAAAGCAGCGGCGGGGGCGCGGCAAAGCAGCTCGTCATCTCCGCGTGACCCGGTGTCCACGTTTACCAGACAAAACGGAGAACTGATCACACTGAAGAGAAAACGATCTATGCAGGTGAGCACAGTGGCCTGTGCTTATTTTTGAGGGAATATTAAAAACATTTCTACTAGTGGGAGAGGAAAGCCTACAGTGATTAAACCAACAGCTCGTTTGCATTTAAAATGCATTTGAAATCTGCTTCTGCTCCCGTAAGTCAGAGGAGCACAGTGTTTTTGCAGATGCTGAGAGCTGATGCAGACTAAGCGGCCTCTCATGAACCCCATGACCACCATTGTGAGTGCCATAAATGCTTCACGTAGCAGGCAAACCGAGCCGGGCAAACGTACACGGCACACACACTGGAGTCACTCTCTGCTCTGCAACAAGGCTGCAGTTTACGCAGCGCCTTTATCTGGGCCAGCCGGCTTCGCCGTGACAACTGCCTCCAAGCTGCCGGTCAGACTCTGCATCATCTCCCCTGATCCCGCTCCGGTTGAATGATGTGCCGCGAGCGACGCAGCAGGAAGTGTGTAAAAGAAGGCAAACTCCACCGGGCGCTCATTAACCGTGACGAACGGCTACGGCGCCGGCTCGCTGGTCACAGGGGTCGGGCGGAGTTCAAGTGGAGAAAAAACAAAAACATAGTCGTCGTGTCAGCGTTTCTGTGGTAGATGGAGAAAAACGCTGGCATGAGATTGGTAGCAAAAGTAATTAAAAGGAGGGAGGATAGAAATGAAGAGAAGTGATGATGCTGATCGTGAGGTGGCTGAGACGTGCCAAAACCAATTAGCTGAAAATAGTGTGAAAAGACAGATTTCGGTTTCGACAGGAACATATCGCTCATGTTGTCGAGAAAGACAACATACTGTAAGCTCTCATGAATTAATCGGAGCACTCAGTTCCTAAATCGCTTGTTCCAGACGCCACAGAAGCCACAAATCCTCTTAAGCAGCCTCGTTCAGACAGCCTATAAGAAACCACCTTGAAAATGAAGATTTCTATTTAAAAGCAGAGCATCGACCACTTTGGGCCAGACGATGTGAAAAAGGCCAAATAAATGGACAAAAGGCCACGCGAGGAGCTCACTTCACCCCCAAACTATCATCGGTAGAACGTGGCGTCGCTCTAAGAACTTTCCCTGAGTGACCACTCATGTCTCTGCTGACAAACAAAGGCTTGTTTGTTTTTTCCAGGTCACAGCTTTTGCCGGGAATCACAAGGGGGCTCAGGGGCTGAGGTGCAAATAGCAAAAAGAAAGATCCGCCCAAGTCACCTCCCGCCGCCCCTCTGGAGACGCTGGAAGGAACACAAACAAAAAGCGCGCAAACAGACCTTGCACAAGCAAGCAAACCAGCATCTGCACACACACAAATAAACAAACAAACCAACCAACGCGCACACACACACACACACGAGCGCGCGCTAAGCAGCCAGGAAGAAGGGGGGGTGGGAGGTTACACAAGGACCGCCAGCAGCTTCAGCCAGGCTGGTTACCTTCAAAGGCTCTTGCTGCGTCAACCAGGTGAGACCAGTCCAGGCCCGAGGCAGCGTCGGGGAGGGGCATGAGGCCCGGGTCGCTGGTCTTGGACCTGTCCGCCAGGGAGCCGTCAGAGAACCAAAACTCATCTGCAGAGACAGGCGGGCACTCCGATCAGTGTCTGGGCCTGGCCTCAGTTTTAGGTTCTGATCTAAGAGTCGCCCTTCAGTTTGCATCAGTGCAGACAAAGAGGGGTCGGGCGAGGAATAAGCAGGGCACAAAGGAAGGAGGAGGTATGTGTGTGGGGGGGGGGGGGTTAAAACGGGCCGTCGCTGCTCAAAGGGACGTCTAAGTCCTGCCCTTTGCAAATAAAAAGTTTAGCATTCACATGACCGCACGATAGGCTCACACAAAACCACCGGCTCAGCATCCGCTGTCTGAGGGCCGATAAATGTCTCGTTCAAACGACTTTAAATGTCTTCATGTCTCAATCAATATGTCCTGTCCCTACCCTCTGTCTGTCTCCCGCCTTTTCTCCCTGTCAGCCCTGAAAGACGGGGAATGAAACAAACAAGCTCCCATTCTGCAGAGAGGCATTTAGAAAAGCATGAGTGGAGAAGCTGAGAGGAGACAGAGAGCGAGAGCGAGAGCTTGAGTTCATGCCGACATTCTTCTTTCAATTTACACAGAGTCTTGGAGCTTGAGTGATTCACTGTTTACCAAATTGGTCTGTTACAGCGTGGGGGAGACAGCGCCTGTCTTTTCCACTACCCTTCAAAACAATCGAGAATCCATCAGGTTGACAGGCAAAAGAGAGAGAGAGAGAAACGTCTTTTTCTATCCGGCGACGGCAGCCGGGTGAGGAGCCGTATGGAAATGGGACATGAGGGACGGGGTGGTGGGGACGGGGGAGACAGGCAGGCAGGCAGTTATTTATGAGTGAATGACCAGTAACGTATGACAGACATCGTGATATTCCTGATGGAAAAATAGGCACGTGGATGTCACCGATCTGAAAGGACGCGCAGCGGCGCCGGGCAGGAAACGTCGCACCTCTCAGCGCTGAAAGCATATTCACCGGGTGCCGGGCGGCACTGGCAGAGGGTGAACATTAACCGGCAGCGACAGGTGTCCGCTTAATGCAGAGCCGCCCCCCGCCCGCCCGATGCACGCCGCCTCGCACCGGCTCCAAAGAGTGGCTATATCGAGGAGTGTTGCTGGAGTGTGTCGCAGTTTTTAATGATATTGGTGGGGACACCAAGTGGCTCTTCGGAACCAGCATCTATATCCTGGCTCTTATCTGCTGCCAGAGAGGAAGAACGATAACCCGAGAAAAGTCTACTTTAGCCTCCTCGTCTCCCAGAGTGTCACACGTTCCTGTACTCACTCCGGAGGTTGGACGCTCCCTGGTTGTGGACCATGCGGGGGGGCAGCGTGCTGTGGTACGGTTGGGTGGTGCTGAACAGGATGTCGTTGGGCAGCGCTTGGTCCAGCATGGAGCTGTGCGAGCTGGCGTAGGACGAGCCCTTGCGGTTACTGCACACGCTCTCGTCCGACAGCGTCCGGTACAGGGAGCGCCTCGGGGACGAGCTGCCCGCCGCCGACACCTGAGGGAAGGAGAACAGTTTGTCAAAAGAGAGGCGAGGGAAACGACCCCCACCACGGCAGGTGAGCGGGCGGCTGAAGGAGGAGGCGTCGGCGAGCAGCAGTCAGGAATCGATTGCAGGCTTGGCTCTCGGGAAGATGTAGATGGATTGAGCAGAGCAGGAGAGGGTCTGGCAGAGTGGGCGGGACAAAAACCGGGACGGGGACAGGACTTGTGGAGGTGGGGACAGAGGTCGCTGCGCCATGGCAGCAGAGTCGCTGAGATTAATGTAAGAAAGACAAGACCAAGTGCCACGATAGGAGATGGAAAGCTGTAGCCAGCCACGAGATGCGTTTGTATGGGAAACGATACCAGGTCTCGATACTCTCCCTGATATTCAGTTTGAGTCCTGTGTGGCGGTAAGTGCTTACTGACGCATTTACTAATGCAGTAATATGGCAGTGAACCTGTGGACTGTCGACACGCATGTGTGAAGCACAGTGGAGCTATAGACGTCTGCAGGGCTCTATTAAAAGCTCCTCATATTTGCAAACCAACTCACCGCACATTTTCTTTTGTTTGCTTGTTTGCAAACCAGAACCAATGTTCATTGAAGCGGGTCGCAATAATGCTTTGTGCGCGCTCCCTAGAACAGGGCGTATTGCAAACGTTGCATACATATGAATGAGGTCAATACAAAGGTCAAAAAAGCACTGTGGGGGGGGGTCGAGGTGAACATTCACAAACCCCGCAGCAATCCTGAGGGGGAAGTCATCTGCACACAGAGGAGAAGTAGAGTAGTCGGATTTCATGACAGCGAACAGAATGTTGACAGTGGATCTCCTGTTTAAACACACAAACCATAATGGCCAATCCAATCCATCATTTTCCCTTCTAGGCTACATAAATATTGCACAAGTGACATCAAAAGTAGCCACAAATGATATGTGAGGCAGCTGGCCAGATGGGCAAATGTCTGCCTTGGGCTGCAGCTGTAACCAACGCTAGACTTGCACAGCCGCAAGCCAACACCCAGCCATCTCCATTTCAAAGACGGATCCCCCACAAATCCCACCGTGACAATTTAACAAACATCAAGTACGTCTTCTAAGCGGAGATATCCGCTGGAATTCAAAGCGGCGTACGCGCGTACACACTGCCGCCGCAGAACATCTCGCAGACTTTAACTTAACAAGGTTGTCTCTCGCATCCAACTTAAAAAGAAGCAACTTTGAACGGGATTTGCTGCTGTCACTTAAAGCAAAAATAGCATAGATTTAGAGCCCCCCCCCCCCCCCATCCCCCAACGATTTGCAATAGGGCTTAATGCTCCTCTTTCAGAAGCCATCTATTAATTACCACCACGGCATCGAACCGCGGTCTCTGCTACACAGAAAATACTCATACTCAGACTATTGACTATTTCAATGTGTCTAAATCCCCCCCCAGCTCCACACCCCGATTTGAGCCGTGAAGTGTTTGAATTATTTTCGCCCCACAGCAGCGCTCTTATCCGCCGACTTAGCGGTGACACATCCACTGAGATTTTCCTCCCCGATTACCCCGGCTTTCCTCCCCGTCGCTCGCACCGAAACAAAGACAACAGCCAGCGTCGGAACCCTTTGACCTGCCACTTGGGAGGACGTGTTGGACAACCGCCGATTCGGATGCTTTCAGCTTTCCCACAGGAGGTCCCACAGAGGAACGCGGTGGGAGAATAAAGCCGCCGGCGGCCTTTTTCCTGACGTCAGCCACACAATGGAGCGCCTGTTTGTGGAAGGGAAATCTCTCTGCACCTGCTCACCAGCACAAAGGCCGACTGCCGGAAGTGACACTCAAATTAACCTTTAGGCGATTGAACAAGTCGGACCCTAATTTAAAACTAGCCGACAATGAGGCCGATGTTGCCGTTACTGTACAGTGGTTCAAGCTGATGATTGAAAACAGGTGTTTACTGGGAACAGATGTGCACACGGTCGGAATGTTTGGCTCTCAGCCGTCCTTCGTGAATCTCACTCCCAGATTGCCATTGCGCACATTGTATTATGACTCTGAATCAGAATGTGAGACGGAGGACTATACTGCTCTTTGAATCCACCCAACACCACTGTGAGCCTTTGTTTTCTCTCTCTCTCTCTATGTGTGTGCGAGGGGCGGCGTACATCCACCCGCCGGCTCCTGCAGCCTCTCCGCTTGGTTCTGTCGTTTAGCTGCCCACTCCTGTCGCTCTGAGCTCAAGTGCTCGGCTAGCTCTGTGGCTCTGGAGGAGGTGATACCTCGGACTAGAGAGCTCATTAAAGGTGTCGCACACGCTTTGTGGTACGATTTTCCATCCGGCTCAAACGGTCTCAGAAATAATCTGCCTTTTATTAGGAGCAAAACCGAAAAAAACAAACCGGTCACTGCACCCAGGCGCCTCATGTGAGGGACGAGGCCCGCCAGAGGACATGGCCGCCTTCTGTAGGGACGACGTGCACTTCCAAAAATAACTAATTTGTATGTCTCCAGGGTCCCTTCCTGGTGGATAATGGATGGGGAAGGGGGACGAGATGCAATTATTAGTCCGCAGGACCCGGAAACATCAAACATCGGTGCACTCGCTGCCTTTAATCCATGACATCTAGACTGAGAAAGCACAGGCCCTGTTATAGATGTAATTTCCAGGATGTTTGCCCATCAATGAGGGGCTCTTTCCGCGAGACGGACGAGCCCCGACGGGCGGGGTTCTCGCAGCAGCACGGCTGATGGGCATCTGCTATGGTTCTTGTCAGCGTGATGAATAGCTTTGAGGATCCTTACAATGTCACGCCACGTCACGTCATCCTACTCATCAATCATCACATCGCAGTTTAAACAGGTTTTAATTGTCGCCGTGGAATTTAGAGTCCAGTTATTGAATCAGCCACAGTGAACCCTCACCTTCCGACTCCCGCCTTCTCCTGGAGGGCTTGTGAGCAGCATCATTTTAAGGTATTCTTCTTTTGAAAGTCTCTGCAGCGATTTCTCGTCCCGCTCAGTAGCCTGGAGCTGGCAGGCGGCCTCCTGTGCATACAGCTGCCTGTGGACCAGAAAGCAGAGGAGCAGAGCTCATCAGAAAGGGGGCATGAAAGACTCATCCTGCATGGGAGGCCTTGGGCCACCGCCGCTCGGGTCCAGCCATTTAGAAAATAACGTCAGCAGCACACGAAGGGTTTCAGCGGGAACCGCCTTAGCATGCCAACAACAGGTGCTCCCATGCTGGTCGGGTGAACGTGGGGTTAACAGGGTTGGTGAGGAGAGCCAGAGAGAAGTGCCCCTTCGATCCCACTCGCCCCCCATCTCACTCTGCCAAAGCAATGATTAAGGACAGTGTGAAGGACAAGGCCAAGCACTGTGAGAAGTACAGAGGAAAGCAGGGGGGGGGGAGGGTTTTGGACAGAAAGTACATTCAGAGACGAGTGCAAAACACATACTCTAGAGGAGTGTGGAGACGACAACAACAGAGGACATGAGAGCTGTTCGGCAGGATTGGAGGAGGACCCACAAGAGGTAGCAGGTGTTATTGTGGGCGGTGTCCGTCACAGCGGTGCTTGTCATTTACATGGTTTTGGAGGGTTCTGAGCGTTTAGAGGGGTTGGTACAGTGGGGTGAGGTTGTGCGGCCGTGAGACCTCTGCTTTAAGTGAGCAACCTGCGAGCTGTTGTGCTGAGTGCTGTTGGCAGGGGGCTGGCTGGCCGCAGGGGGGATGCGTCGCACGCCGAGGCGACGGGCAGCCTGGCAGCGACTGGTTACCTAGAGACACTATTGCTGAGCCTGGCCCCCGTTTTGAGCTTTTGGCGCCATGGCAACCAAGCCCTAAATACATAGACGGGTATTGCACTTGTCTGTGTGATTGCCAGATACAATCAGACCGTGAGATCTCTAGTTCAAAAACAAATGCTCTATTCTGAAGGATGCATCGGATTGAGCCTTGCATAATACTTAAGCACAACCATTAATTTTCCTCTGTATCGTAATGAAGCCCTTGTTAAAGTCATCCCATAATCATGGATCGATTGTGCAAGAACTAATTGAACAATGCACTTTGTTGTCTGGGTGTAAATGGCAGAAGATGCGTTTATATCCACCTGCTCAAAACATGCCTTTTTTTGCCAGAAATTTAAGAGTAAAAAAAACTGAGGATAAAATGTTTTCAAGCTCAGCTGAGGTGATAATAGCTGGCAAATTGGAAAAGGGAAAAATACAATAAAGGCCGATGCAAACACAGTTGTATGACTGCAACTTGGACAAAGCATCCATGCTGCCCTAAAAGGTTACACACCTAGTCCCAAAAGGCCAAAAGATAAAGGCGAAAAAAAGTGGGGGTTGTCAGGGTTTGAGTGCAGACCCGGTTGCTTTTTCACTCCCCCCCCCACCCGCCCTGTCTCCCTCTATCACTACAGCGGCTGATACGCACAGCAGGCAGTATCGTCGGCAATGGGATTCTGCAGTGACAGCAGAAATGTCACAGCTACCGATGCACAGCGGGTTGCATTCCGCCCGCAGCGCCCACCACATGGCAGGAGGAGCACACGAGTGGGGCGGTGGTCTGGGACAGAGGGTGGGGGCCGGGGATGGTGTGTGCGTTTGTGTGTTAAGGGGAGCAGGCTAGGTCAAGGGGGGCGGGTGGACTTTGACTAACGGTGTACCTTGAACGCTCAGACAGCATTTTGAGAAGGAACGCTAACAAGCTCTCCGCTCCTCTGGAACAAGAAGCAGAAGCAAGAGAGAGAGAGAGAGAGAGAGGGAGAGAAACAGCCCGGGGTCAGCAGCATCCTGCATTGCGTACAGGGGTTAGAGCAAATGAGAAAACTTCTTCGGGAGAAGGAAGAGAAACTTCATTATGTTAGAACAATATCTGTGAGTAATATTAGGGCCATCTATCACGAGGCGTAGTTACGCTAGTCGAAATAAAAATGTAGGAATATATAAACAAACAATGGGGAATGTAACTGAATTACGCAGCTTTTTCATAAGTCGGCAGGAGATGACTCCGCTGCATGCGATCAATCACGGAGTCCTTAAGTGGCAAATTTTGCAGCCAAAAATGAAATTATCTGGGAGCTGGAGCAAGGGGTTTGTTTTAGGGCAAATCTCACATTCGCTCCTCTAAAACAAGGCCCCACCCCACAAAGAAGCACACGCATCATCGTCACAGCTGTGTTTCAATTTCCCCATCAATGGCTCTCTGTTGTCTACGGCTAACCATTTAATCGGCAGCCGGATACCGTCAGTCGTCACTGCTCGTATAAAGTCTGAGGGGAGGATACGTTCTCAACCTGCAGAGACTCCTCTCCCCCTTTGCCGGTGGTGCTGAGGCGGTGTCCTTGGGCCCGCTTGTGCGACAGCAGCGTGTTTGTTGTGTGCCGATCGTTGCTCGGCTCCCAGCAGAGTTGCTGATCTGGTAGAGGCTTGAGAACGTGCGGTCCTCTGGGACGCGGCTTCACGGGTACAATCAATAACAGCAAGTGACATGTGCCAAGTGTATTATGTCCGCGGCTTCATTGAGCTTATTTATTTTCTGGCTGTCTGCTTCAATCAAGGCCAGTTTGTGCACGCTGGGTGGGCCGACTGTGGTCTGTGTGGGTCCGGCTCTCGTGCAGTAACAGTCTGTCTGGGAGTATACAGCTCCGCACTGAGAGGAGCCGGGCCGAGGAGGCCAGTTTACGGGAATAAAGTGCGTTGTCTGGCTCGGCACGAGAGATGCTGCGGCACGCTTTGTGAATCTGCAACAAACTACGACCTTTAGTTTAGTTTTTGTGGTAAAAGAGCATAGTTGGTGAGTTCCTGGTGTCCCAAATGCTCTTTCTTGCTTTCTCCCTGTCTCACGCACACTCACCCACACTCTGAAATGCTGGGAGGTCCCTCAGTGCTGTGGGCATCACCATCACCATCGGCTGTCTCCATCCCCCCTGGGAGAATGCAATCGGGTTGGGGCCGTGTCTGTCCACAGGCCTCTGAGCCGGGCTCCGGGTCCGGGTCCGGCCCCGGCCCTGAGCTGCTGGTCTGGGGGATGGTGTACACCTTGGAGGAGTCAGCGGACATACAGTATCTGGCACCGCGGGCCAGGGGACTGCCAGAGTGGTGTGAGCCACTAACAACACAGCAACAAAAAAAAAAAAGAAAAGCAAAAAAAGAAGCATAATGTAACTCATAAGTGACCAAAATTAAAACATGAAAGCATAAAAAAACATTAACAATGAATAAATGAGAACGACTGCTTGCAAGTTACCTGGTACAGATGTTGAGAAATAATGATTTTCAAATGAAAATGATAAATGAATGCTCTCCTGTGATACAGGATGTCATCTGCTCCACATAGTCAAGCTGGTTCCCCTCTGACCTACTTTGGAAAGGGACTTGCATTCAGTCCTTAATGTGCATATTCCAACTGAACTCTGTCCTTTAAATGTTTAGTCAAATATCAAGTGACAAACCAAATTAAAAGGTCACTGCATTTGAGTCAGAAAGAAGAGTATTTCATGTTTTATCTGCAGATGTTCAGAAATATTCCTCACTATGACTTCTGCTGATATCCATTTCTCAAAGAAGGATAAAACGTGCAGAGCTAGCGATTACTAGGTCAGTGGAAAACATATCTTATGTAGTGATTTGGGTGAACCAACCCTTTAAATGTACAATCAAATAGTCAAAGGAATGCATTACTTGTAGAGAATGAAAACATTTCAGCTACTTTTTCTAAAGCTCTTCCTGTTTAATTTTATGTACAATACATCAGAAAATCCATTTGATTTCGAACACCGCTAGGATGCAGCATGTCTTTGTTTATGATTATTGTTTTAGCTTTGTGATAGTGAATCTGTATCCGGTTAATCTATGTAGGATGAATGAATAAAATTTGACAGTGATGAGAAAACGAGCCATGCGTCAGACAAAGAGGACAGTGCCCGTCTTTGTTCCATTTAAATTTGCATTGGCTGCACAGCATCCTCTGCTATGTTAAAACGTCCCCCGGAACAGACCTTACTCTGTGGTTTCCTAAGTACTTTGTGTTTTATGTCAGCTGCCCGATTAGAGTTCATCCGTTCGTTTTCTAGATAGAAAAGGCTCTGCTCAGGTTTTGGTTCCGAGACATCAGAGGTGTCTTGAGCTGGAGGCACTACACACCCTTGTTTCCATATTCATGACCATCTGGGCCACACCCTGCAAACTGTGCTCCTGCTGCTCCGCTGTTTGTTCAGACGACACTCGGGTGTCAAAGACCATTCCATCAAAGGTGGGAAGCCTCGGAGTAGTCAAGGTGATGGCACGGGCTCTTTACTCATCTCTGACTGATGTCCTGGAGCGGACAGCTCTGACGCCTCCCCAACAGGTCAATGATCTCAACAGATTGTGCTACCATAATCCAGTAAGGCATAAAACAAATGGATACCCATTCAATTTCATAGAGGCAGAGTGAGAGTGGCTGCAGGCTCCAACCCCCTCGGTTACCCCTCCTCTCTTGCAGATGGGCCCCGGCCTGGCAAAGGACGACTTGGACGAGAGTGTGCTGAAGCCCCCCCCCCCCCCCCCATCCCATGTTGTTCTGGCCTGACAGCAGCCACACCCACTGGCTTCAGCACAGCTGGATGAGTCAGGCAGAGGGTCAGGAGGGAGGGAGCACAGTTGGGTGAAAAGGTCAGCTAACAGCCAGCAACCACCCTTTTGTGCATGTGTGTGTGTGTGTGTGTTGAATAGAACAGTCAATGGCATGAATGGATTGCTGGCTGCACGTGTGAATGTGCATCACCGTGTTTGAACACAATGGATTTTGATTCGAGGTATACATCAAGAAAAAGGGTGTGAATTTTCCTCAGAGGGGAAATCGATGCCCCGCTGGCGCGCTGTACTTAAGCCGAGTCAGAATTGACTAACCTCATACACGGCAACCAAGAACATCCCAAAACAACATAGTGTCCCAGTAGGACACTGGGCTGAGCCTACGGGAACAGCTGACTGACCCCAAACACACTGTCAGCAGCTAAACAAACATAACGGTCTCTAAAAGGGGGAAAACACGCATCCCAACTCTGCACTGTACCTTGAGTGGGATGAGATCTCGCTCAGGTCCCCGATGCTTCCTTCAGTCACATGACTAGACATGATGGCGCAGGCGTAGCCCTGCGGCAGGTAGTGTTTCCCCTGATCCTCCTCCGAACCTCCTTCTTCGTGATGCTCCGACACCCAGGGGTGTCCCGGCTCCCCGGCCCTGCCCTGCATCAGCACCCGGGCCCCGGGGGCCACGCAGGGATTGGTGTCGATGCCGCTGTCCGTCGACGCCCCTTTGATGTACGTGAGGCCCAGCATCTCCGGGTCCATCAGGTCTCCAGAGCCAAAGTGCTTATCGTCGCTGTTGCTGGAGGCGTTGCTCGAGAGAGTGTTGCTACTCGAGTGGCTGGAGTTTTTATCGCCCGCCTGGTGGAACAAGAGAGATCAAGAGGGTTAAAGGAGATAGAAGTTCAGTAAATTGGACATGGCCACACAGCAGTTGCAGATCAATCTTACGGTTGAGTGAACATGCGGGGCGCAGCGAGGGGGGATGGGTTTACCCATGGGGCTAAATCACACATCACATGTGTCCCTGACTGAGTCTTCTTGAGGCATATGATGCCGTCGGGTTAGTTGACAGATCCATGGAGGAATACAAACAGAGTATGCAAAGTTTCACATCCTTTATTTGAGACCTCTTAAGATCTCCAGTGAGAGATCTCTGAGATCTGGCTCCTAAATCGGTATAATGGTTTAATACTCTCATCAACTTAGTTTTATTCGTTTTCATTAGGAAGCCAGAATTCGTTCATCATAAAACTGAGAAATAAAATGTGATGAATACAAATCTGTTGTTTTCTGCTAAATCGCCAAAGCAGCCTAAATCCAATCGCATCAGAAACGGCTACGGTGCTTTATGCTCTAAGAGGGAAGTGGTTTAGATCATCATCCGCTGTCATTGGCTAATGCAACACTCGCCGAAAGCGCTGTCTAACTGCTCGCTGTGTGCGGCCCGCCTCCAGCAACAAAGCTCTAAGAAAAGACGGAAAGAGAGAACGACGAAGAAGGGGAGAATTTAGAGAAAGGGGAAAATAAGAGGATCCAGCAGTTAATAGATTCAACCTTCTAGGAAATTGTGTCCTAGAAAAGTGCGAGACACCCAGGAACGGTGATGAGATGAGACGCCCGTTAGCATGCTGATGAGGGGGAAGTGATGAGTGCAAAGAGTGGCTGGAGGGGGACGACATGTGGCTGAATGCCCCCAATCGAGGTTGCCGCAGAGCGCGTAAACAAGGGCAATCCGACCTCACCCACAATTCGAACATGGATGCAGGTCAGACGGTACGAAGTTGGGCTTCAGCTGCAAGCCGCAGCACACGAGCTGCGCTGCGTTTAAAACAAGTAGATTTTCTAAACGCTTTCCGTCAGGCATCACTGAAATCTAAGCAGGTCAGACATTTACCCTGGACAGCTTGTTGGGCGAGTCTTTCCCCCCTTCTCTTTGCTTCAGTGGGTTCAGGATCTTGGTGGAGGGGATGTGCCATTTGGCCTCTGCCGACAGAGAGGAGAAAGCAGAGTGTTGGAGAAGCGCCAGAGGAGAATGAGCAGCATAAATCCTCCACCGGACTCACCTGCAGATCTGGTCCTCTCCAGGGTGGGCTCCCGCTCCCTGCGGATCTCTCCGTCACCGCCCTGCATGTCACCTGCCCGCTCATGCAGTATGGGGGAGGGACACCTAGAGAAAGACGGGCGGTGAATTCTTTTTTCTTTTTTCTGTCCATGAAGTTACTCGGAGAGGCTTCAATGGATTTACAGCAATTAGCTCAAGATCATATAAGGTCAATTCACTTGAGCTTGTAATAGTATTAAGACGCAGCCAGACAATGCTGACAGGAGGCCTCCTTTCATTCGACTTGTCATGCAGGGCACTCTCTTGTCCTGACAAAAGGGAGAGAGAGCAGCACATGTTTCAACGCGGGTCTTAATTAAACCCTTAAAGAGCTAATAAATGTTACAACCGAAGAAGAGAGGCCACGACGTCTCGTGATCTTTGGGCAAGGCTCTAACCGGAGATCCACCGGCACATCGACGCGTCTGTCTGTCGCTCTCTGACAGGCCACATGGGTCCCTGGGAGTTCAGTGCACTTTTGAGTTCTCTGACAGGAAGGCAGCAGTGTGCAGCTAAGCCTCCTGTCATGGTCTGCAACCACTTACAGACAGACATCGGTCTCTGATGGATTTAGCCCAGCCTGACAGCTGTTACGCCTCTGCAGTCTGAAGTGCTGCATACCAATATATGATTGGAAGCAGGAAAAGAAATAACCTAACGTTGAAGAAGAGATCTATGGTTATACGGAGAGGGGAGAAAACCCAGGGCCTGGATATTGTACTGGCTTCTTTTTATGATGACAAAAGCTGAATGGTATCTTTTAGCTAAAGCCTTTTCCCCCCTGCTCCTCTGTATTTTTTTTTTTTTAAAAGATGTCTTTACAATGGCGTTCAAAATTCTAAATTACAGTGTAGTTTCTGAAAGTGGCACTTTAGTTGTAGTAGGTTATACTGAACACAGGAAAAATGTCTTCATAATCACTTCCTTTCACAGTTAAGGGATAATCATTCTGAACGCAAGGACAATGTGCTGAAAACTTGGGATTTTTAATGGCTACAAGATGGAAGGGTTTGATCTAAAAGTGGCCATTTATGTTTTTAGGGATCCTTTATGTTCTTCTGGTTGCAATCCTGAAAGTAAGGCTCTGGGTTGATTTAATGGAAGACAAAGTAATCTCATATACAAAACTCCTCATCCTCCATCATCTTCCCTTATTCTAGGTTCTCAATGGAGTTTTTCTACATCACTTCCTACAAAAAACAGGTCACAACTGGCCAAAAGCAGGCTGATGATTCGGTCATTTCATGTGGCAAAATTGCTGCCATTTTGCGAAATTGCAAGTTCTCAGAAATAGTGCTGCCTGTGACTGATTGTGGCTGCATTCATCGCTGCAAAAAAAGGGACTTTGGGGCTATTAGAAATGAGTAAGACTGCGGTGGTCCCGTACCCATCGTAGCCAGGCTGCTGGGACCAGGTGCCGCTGCCACAGGGTCCTGGATCACTGGAGGAGGACTGGTTACTGGGCGAGCTGCGGTAGTGCTGGTCTCCCTTGTTGCATGAGGTGACCTGGGGGTTTTCCATATCCTGCATTACCCTGCAGAAACAGAGGGACACCAGTGTAAGACATGCGGTCGTTGATTGTCAAAACCAGGGCTCTAAATGACCGTCGATATTTTCAAACAGCTCTTTGGTGACCAACGGTCCCAAAACCAGGTGATATTCAACTCACAATCATATAGAACTAAGAAAAGCTGATATTTATTTGGATATGATGGAATCCGCTCGTTACTTACATGAAACAATTTCATATACAACAAAGAAAATTAAATTGACATCTCACAAGTGGACAAACTTCTTTCCCCCGCTGTCACGCGTTAGTGACTTCATTACTAGATGTCACTGAACGCTCCCTTGAATGTGCGCACCGCCGAGCTTTCAGTGAGGTAGAAGGTGATTTTATTCTCCGAAGAAAAACAGCTACAGGGATTAGTTATGGTAACACGCCTGAGTGACCGATCCAGATGGCGCATCCCGGCGCGTGTGTGCAGAGTAAGAACGCAGAAGCGGATGTGAGTGGAGGCTTGAGAGTTCTTCTTCCATTTCTGCTCAACGTATGCAAGAAATTCCGCTGCAATGCAAGAGGCCCTGGCCTGACTGAGACAAGGGGTTTCTTTGCTTACCTTCGCCGGGTCAGGATAAACTTTGTGATTTCGAGTCTACAGTAAGAAAAAATAAACACTGGAATCGAGTTATGTCTGCTGCCTGGAGGCCTTCCTTTGCACCAACACACCAAGGTAGCTTGAATGACCGAGCGGAAATGAGAGTGCAATAACATTGGCAGGGTGGCTTTGACATCAAGTCAGCTCCAGCTGCACACACTTCCACCTCTCATTGCGCTCATACATTTGCTTGCAGACTAAGATCGGGGTTCTGCCTGAACAGAGCGGACAAAATATTTACATGCATGAAGGAACATGCACAGATCAGACATAGGAAAGGTATATTCCACAGACTCAAATGATACAAACGTCCGTTCAGCAGGTGTCCTTAATGCTCAGTCTTCAGGTTTTCTTTGTCTAGACCTCTATGGGAAACTCATCCAACTGTCAGTGACTTAGTTGCGGCACACATCATCAAATGCTTTGGCCAGAACGCCAAATTTCCTCCCCGATCAAAAGTCTCCTCAGCCGGGTCCATGCACTTTAATTTGAAACAGCAGCCGCTTTCATTTCTCTTCCACCTCTTCCTCTCTAGACATAATGTTTAATGGGGTAATGTGTTTTTCTCTCTTTTTGCTGGGATAACATCCAAGGATTTGCGGTCGGTCCAAGCGTTTTTTTTTTTGCATGCTAGGTGTCATATTTTATGGTGCCAAGTGTGGATTCAGCTCAACGTGTGAACAGGATGATGCTTTGAATGTAAACTATCAAGATGGAACCGGTAGACGTGTGCTTCACAGGTGTTTTTAGTCCCTCCTCCACCAAGTAGCCTTTCCTTGACACCCCTTGTTGAATTTAAACTGAAAGATATTTAATAACCATATAAAAGGTTTACAACTGCTCTTCATAACGAACCATCCAAAATGTCCATGTTAATAGAGCTTTGCAACCCAAAGAAACAAAATGTCCAGTACCTTCAGCCTGCTGTAGGGTTACTGCTTTACTGTGCTAAATTCTAATCATATCTAAATCATTCCAAATGGCAATCATTTTTCAAGAATATGCGACTGTACAATTTTTCCGCTCGTCTTCCTCCCTCTTCTGTCTATGACAACCCCCCCCCCCCATACAACCCCTCTGGGGTGCTACATATCACGGGCCAGAGAAGAGCCCTCTCTTTGTTTCAGCAGTAATTGGCTGAGATGAGCTGAGCTGTGTCGGTGTCCCCATCACCTCCTCCTCAGCAGGGTGCAGGAAGAGGGAGGGAGTGGAAGGAGTAAAGAGAGAGGGAGGGGGTGAGAGAGAGAGAGAGAGAGAGAGGGAGGAGCGGGGTAGAATGTGTTTCCGCTGCAGGGGACTCTGATTAGGCAGCGAAGGCGGAGGCCATTATCCAAATATATATATATATATATATATATATACCCCCTCCCTATATATATATAAATATATATATATATATATAAAAAAAACAGGCAACACCAGGGGGGGTCGGTGCGACGCACTGGAAAGGTTATCATGGCTGTCGGGGGTTTCATTAGAATGAACAAATCACTGCTTTACATGGCTCAATGGAGATGTCCAAAAGAGACTCCGTCTAGGACGAGAACAAAGTGAGGCCTTATCATCTGAAGGAAGATGAAAGCAAAGCCATGAATTCGTTGGCCTAGAAGGTTCCATTTATACGTATGCAAATAGCTTAGCACAATAACCAGGCCCTCCTCCAAATGAGAACGGCTCGGACTTCAAAGACTTCATCTCAAAAGGATCGGGTCTTTTGAGCATCATGATGATTGAAAAGCTTTACTCTTCCAAGAGCTCTGAAAAACCTGCAGTAAAAAGCTTGACTTCCAAAAGTGCCATTTGACATCGACATACATTTTTGCCGGCTTGCTTCTTTGCAACACCGTCTATCGGGGTGCTGTGACTTCATCTCGGTGTGATCAAAGTAACTTTCCCTCCCGCAGGAGGCAAAGGGTTTTTGATTTTGGTATTGGACCCATACGAGGCTGTGAACAAAACTCCTTTCAACGGCGTAAATGAGTACAGTATTTCACTGCCAAGCCTTACCTGGACCCGTCTGGCAGCTTCCTATCAAAGGAGGTGCTCCGTGGGATGGCGGCCTGGTGCTGCTGGAGGATCTGCTGGCACTGCAGGCGCTCGGGGCCCTGCGTGGGCGAGCCCCGGGACAGCGGCGGTCCAGCGGCGCCGGGCACCCGATGCCAAGTGGTGTTCCTCCTGAAGGGAGTCTTGTACTCGCAGGGCGTGCCCTCGCTGTCGACCTTGTACTCCACCATGGGTATGCGGTAGAGCTCGGAGCAGCCCCTGGGCGGGGGGAGGAAACCAAGAAGATAAAGTTAAAGGTGCACACAAATTAAAGTACACATTTATTTTCCTCTTTAGTGTAGTGATATTCATCGGTATAGATTGTTTTGGTGCGAGTTGCCTTATTTTACTATAAAGTGATATATCCCTTCACTCTAATGTAATGGGACTGTATATATCCTTTTTTGAGCACTATGGACATTATTCCAGAATTATAACATCTGGAATAATTATATATCTACTAATATAATTAATTATTGAGGAGTGTAATGAATCGAAAGAGTAATTTAAAAGCTCAAATGACTTATTAACCGCTGCAATGATTGCATTAGACAGTAAATTCACATCACATTGTTACAATAATTCGTATTAATGTACATAATGACAAATGTTCTATAACCTTTTTTAGTCATTCAATTGAGGATCCAATATTCCTGCCGATGCAATGCCAGATGCCTTGTAACAATTTCAGCGATAACCGTACTTTACTGTAGAACCCAGCTGACCCTGACGTCCTCTGTAAAAAACTACGAGCGGGGGAGGGGAGTCATTCATCCATTACCGTGACTACACGGAAACACACTAATACTGTCAGAAATATTTAGCCAGAGGCAAACGTCTAAATATAGTTGTGCATGTGCATGCATGTGTGTGAGCCAACGACACACACACACACACACAAACACACACACAAGTTGCACACCAGGGGGCTTACGGGCAAATTGGAGTGGAGATGCACAAACCAGTGGAAAAAACACTTTTTTAAACACTTATTTTTTAATAGAGACAAAAATCTCTGCTTGCCGTTCGATCAGATATAGGTTTCCCTTGAGTAGTTGTACACGGGCGGCTTTTTCATCCCCATCTTCACCCCATTACTGCTCCCACTCTTACGACTCCGCGACGGACACGGCCTGTGATGCCATTTCACGCAACATTAATCTCCGGGGCTTGGTGTGTATGTTAGGATGGAACAGGGGGGGGGTTGCAGGGTGGTGTGTCAGGGTTAAACAGCCCGCGTGCTCTGCTAGCTCTCCAAACGCACATCACGCATGACCCCAATAATTACAGCGGCCTCCCTCTCCAAAGTCCATTCTCCAGAAGCCGCTGGGGGACGGAGGACTGTGTATTCTTCGCTGTGGTGTTACGTGCACTTTTCATCAAACTGGGTCACGGGTGGCTGTTTACAACGACCCCCCCCCCCCCCCCCCACTGGGGCCCGCGGGGGTCAGAAGGTCTCACTAGAAGAACATCCTTCGCTTCCTCCTGGGCTAACAGCTCTCCCACGTCTGGGCAGGGTCACCAGCGAGCTGCCTCGACCCTTTACGTTTACATTATTCATTGCATGCGTGCTGCATGGGTCAATGGGTTTGTAAATGCCACAGTAAGTAATGAGTGGAATTAGAGCATCAGAAGATGCAGAGAGATAAGGAATTCATCTCAGGTGAAACTACCGTATGGAATAAAGATTTATTCCCTCTACCTTCTTAATACGATTGTGAAAGCACAGGTCTGATCTCTTTTTGTGTCAGAATAAAAATAATGAAAACTTCTTCTTCTTCTGACTGATGGTGAATTGCTTTTTCTATACAGGGCTGCTGAGCCACTCATTACTTTGATTAACTGAGAGTGTGTGTGTGTGTGTGATCATGCCAGGCTGCCAGGAATCATTACTCCCCAAACAGGCTAAACAGCCAACAGCTTGTCAAAGGGAAAGGTCTCAGCCGTTGTCTCCTGGCCTGCACTCGAATGGGAAAGAACCGACAAGCTGCACTTTCACTTCTGATCATAACATTCAAGCTTAGCAGGAGGGGCGAAAATGACCCCATGTATGTGGAATGTGCTTGTTTGTAATGTACGGGGACTCAGGGTGTATAAATCGTGGTGAGAGAGAGCAGGAAAAGGGTGTTTGGTCAACATTTCAACCACAGCTGGAGGAGACGCATCCAGCAAGCTATAGGAGGAGGAATAATGTCTTATACCACAATGAAGAAAAACATCAACAAAATTAAAATCCACATCCAGTTCACTCAAAATACAGCTACTGCATGTCTGGCATAACACAACTGAGACCACATAAATAACTTGAATGCTTATTAGAAATCTAAGTAAAAATAAAAAAGACTATGTGACCAGTTAGCTGTGAACAATGGGCTGCTTCAAACATTGGCTCTTAGGAATTACAATAGACTGGTTTGACAACAGGACCTTAGACCTCCGTCAGAGGGCTGTCACTCTAATGACATGGCTGGCGACTGAAGGACACGCTAATCCATTCCCACAGCCGGAGTCCATGTCACAGCAAAGAGCCACAGAGGTTGTGACCTCCACCTTTTTTCAGAAACCTTGCCAAGCGGTTTATTAAATAAAAGGTGCGCGGAAAAGTGATTTCACTGCAAAGTGATCTGAAGGCCAGCAGGCCTCCTGTGAGAAATGTGCAGGGATTAAGATGAGCAATTTGTGGTGCAGGTTCTTTGAGTTTCGGTTTAGTGGGGCTCTCTTTTGCAGGGTGTCGGCATGTGAAGTGAGAAATCCAGCTTAACTTTGGTCCGGACGAAAATCCACGATGACAAACCTGGTGACACTTGAAAAGGAAAGGTCGCAAGAGGCGTGTGTGAATGTCACAGGCAGGTCAAACCCTCGCAGACCCGGCATTTTAATAACGCACATCTTTGTGATTAAAACCTTTAAATGTATAATATGCTCTAACAAAGTATACATGGTAGATTACGCAGCCACAGACGTTTTCTTTTCCATTTGTTTACCTTGTAGTAATCATCCATTTTAAGTGCATGCAAGTACTGATCCTCTTGTTTGCTCTTGGATCTCTGGTGACCATGTAGCAAAACATACAATCACAGAGTTCTGTGCATTGCATTCCTGTTTCAAAGAAACAAATCTTGCTCATCTTTTTTTCATTAGTATGATCCAAGGCGAACATGTTGAACTTGTTTGAAGCCTTTCAGAGTGACGATGGAAAAGCCCAGTATAAAACCACATCCTTCCTCCAGTGTAAATAAATACAATCCTAGGTACGGCTAATATTAGAGCCACGTCTCCGCCGGCTTCAGGCTGCGCGTCGAGGGCATAAACAGCTTTAGTCCTATTAGTCATTCAACATGGGATTACTCCGTCAATCCTCATCCACTCGCAAAATAAATAACGCAGATTTATATTCTGATAATAAAAAACAAGCCCCGACACGTGCTTACGAAAACATTTCTGCTCGTCTTGGTTCTAGTGTGCAGCCCAGGGTACATTGTGTGGAGGTCATGAGACTGTCGACCATTGTTGTTAACACTAGCCCTCATCTCCCCGGCCACGGGGGACCGACTGGGCCCCCGCTGAATTCCTTTCCCTTGAGATAATCACGGAGGAACCAGAGTTCTTATTGTTGACTGCGACACTCAAAGACGCAGCGGCGAAAAGAAGAAGAAAAAAAAAAAAGAGTTGAGGGCCCTCGAGATTCTTCATCTGACCTCTCACCTCTAGATTTGTTGGACTTGGGAGGCGAGGCAGCGGGGGAGGATGGAGGAGGGGAGGGAGGGGGATTGACAAGTCCTGAGACACAGAGTCTGTTTGGCTCTCAGGACGACGCTGAGAAGCGGTTCCAGTAAGACGGAGGAATGTCCCTGTACGGCTCGGACCAGCAAAGTCCTCTGCTGCACTAATCTCCCACGCGCATCTGCTAGGAACGCCATATGTGGGTCAAGCTCACTAAATTATGCATCATGCCGCCCATTATGGTTCTGAAAACATGACACAACGCACGCGGTGCTATACGTCTTCCGTTTTGCACAAACGGCGTGTCAGAAGAGTTCGTTCACGGGACCCTGCATCACGGGACCCAGCATCACGGGACCCAGCATCACGGTCCCGGTCGACTCGCAGGAGGACGTTTGCTTCTTTTGCCTTTTGCTCCCGTGAGCTGCGATCATGATGGTATCATCGTGCATCATTACAGCTTGTGGTAAGAGGATTAGACGACGGTTCTGCAGGACAGGCTGCCGTTTCAGATTTTACCGTTTGGGGCATTATCGGCCATCGTGTGGGGGAGAAAATAAATGTTACTCCCCTGTTGCCAGACCAGAACTAAAAGTTCAAACGCAGTTAAACGCATTCCTAGTATGCCGCCTTTGACACACTGACCGCTGCTTTAAGACTGTATTCACGCAGGATTTTACGCATGGCTTCCATTAACCCTTTTCCACAAATATGCATATGTCATCTGTGTGAAAACAAGCTCTCTTCACCCGCCAGCGATTTGTCAAACATCTCCACACATCGGAAACAAACGGAAAATTGGATAAAGTGTCTCTCTGAACACGGTCTGGTCATTTTGCTGTGATCGTCGGCCACAAAAGTAGGAAGAAAGCATTCTGTGGTACACAACACCCGTCAGCCCGAAGCGCAACCCAAAAACAAAGATGTCAAAAAACATGAGGGTGAAAGAGTGACTGGTGCAATTCCGCTGTCTGCCTCTCGCAGACAAAACAAGCAGATGTGCTCTCAGAACGCGTCTTCTACACAGACCTCCGTCGCTTCCCCTCCGCTCCTTTACAATGGGAGCAACGGAGTCTCCAGGTGGGTGCCTGTCTCTAAGACGCCCAAAATTACCATCCTAATTACTGAATGGAAGGTTGGGCTGGTTTAAAAATAAATAAATAAATAAAAGCAATCTGCAAATGTGAGCTGTCAGACAGTAGCGGCCAGAGTGGAGCCATTAATCAAAATGCTCCGCTCATTATCATTAGTGAGAAACGCTGACCGTCCTGCGTGACTCACGGGCCTGCTGGAGTTCTTGTTCTGCAGCAAAGCCACATCAACACAAAAAAACGTCCTCTCTCTCTCCGGAGGAAATCAGCAACATCAGCGTGTAAGCATTTCTTTATGCTAATCGACACAAGCGTGAGACAAATGTCAGGCTAATTTACCCCAGCTGCAAAAAAACATTTATAAAAAAATGACTTCACCCAGAACTTCTTACATTTTTGAGGAGCACCTGCTTCTCTGCTTCACTAACCACAACCCCAACCAAAGACAATGGGGGGTGGAGGGGATCTGCTTTTGTTATGTCAGCTGCCTTTGTCCTTTAAGTTGCTAGAAGAGAAGTAAACAAGAGGTGTGGGGGTTTACCGTCGGGGGGCGCCGTCCTCGTGGGGCTGGATTATGACCACCTTGACGCTGACGGAGGTGCGCAGCAGGTCAATCATTTGCTCGTGGGTGAGGGTCGCGACGGCCACCTTGCAGATCTCCACCAGCCGGCTGCCCTGCCTCAGCCCGGCCTTCCAGGCGAAGCCGAAGGGCTCCACGTCGGCCACGATGCCCTCGAAGTTGACGTGGAAGCCGAGCTGGCCGAGGCCGTTCCGGCGCAGCGTCATCTCTGACGTCTCGCAGCCTCTGGTGGCGATCTGGAACCGGAATCGAAAATTATTTGCACATTATCTACAATGAGCACACGGGAATCTGTCGCAAGTAAGCATCACAAAGTGCAACACATGAAATGGATGCAATCACACCGAGCAAGCGGGGAGGAGAGACAGAGTTGAATGATCTTAACATCCCCTAATAAGAGCTTTCTGGGCTAATAGTTTATTTCAACAGCCTCCTTCAAACTCTTGGTGTGTGTGAAAAAATACTATTAGAGCAGAGAAACACCGTGTCCTCCGGCAGAGGAGCACGTTTGCTTGGCTGATTCAAAAAGCTTCTCAAAATGGAAGTTAATAAGAGGGTACATGACAGAGCTAACCGGTTTAGCCTCAGAGCTGCATAGAGGAACTCACACACACACACACACACACACACACACACGCACACACAGACGAGCGGCCGTTTCTGGGGACTACAGTGGCTTAGTGGGTGCCGTGTGGGGAATTAGGATCAACGAGTCTATTAACCAGAGATATCTGAAGAAGAAAAAAGACTTTTGAGCGCAACATTCATCCACCAACACATATTCTGTGTCAACTGGCAGCTGGTCCACACAGAATAATCCCTCCAACATCCTTTTCCCCCCACTAGTCTTCCCCCCGGATGCTCACGGCCGGTCGCCGCCTGTCCCGTGGCGTGCTCGGGGAGGAAACTCAGAAGTTGGCTCTCGCGCAATCATGCACTTGAATGCAAATGAGGATGTTGACTTCACTCAGCGGCTGCTTGGCTTGAGCCGCCGCGTTAATGGAATTCAGGTTCAAATGAAGTTCAGGCAATGCTCTTGCTTTAGCGGCGACATTTCAGAAAAAAAAATAATGTTGACCATGATGACATTGAATCCCTGAGCTTGTAGACTACCCTGAACTGGGTACTCAGTGGGACGGGACAGATTTTCCTGTAACAACCAATGAGGGGGGGGAAATCCACTGCATCCAATGAGCTTTAATTACTCATCAGATTAGTCTTGGTTCAGTTGTGGGTGGTTGCCTCCATTTGCTGCAGAGCAGCAGCTGGCTTCAGGGACACATCAACTCAAGACTACGGCCTGTCAACACTCCAGCAGGTTCTCACACTGGCAGAAATACTACCCCCCCGTGTGTGAGAGGGGTCACAAAACAACCATGATGGGTCTCACAGTGGGACCCTAAAATCTGTATTTACTTAAGGGGAGGACTCATTCCTGTTGGTGAAATCAGTGAAGTCACAGTCTCGCAATAAATAAATGCTTGTAGATCCACTTTTCAAAGAGACACGACATTAAAGGCAGGGCACTTCTCCTTCTGCGTAAAAAAACATCAAGGGCAGAAGAGGAAATCCAAAAGCTCTCCGGTGGCAAAGTCTGGCCTTAAATGGCCTGTGACTGAAGAGAATTAGGGACCATGAATCAAACTGCCCTTTGTCAGAAATGCATTAGGGCTAAGTAGCTTTCTAAATGCTCTCATCGATGCCATTTATTCAGTATGAATGTGCCCTTCCAATGGCCAAAATCTATAATGGTTAAAACAGGACACTTGTCCTCTCATAGGAGGGATGTGTGGCCTGCAGAGTTATTTTTGATGGTGGCGTGGACGACACATTTGCCTGAATATTACAAATTAAGAACCGTGTCAGAAGCAGCTCTCGTGTGTTGGACAGATATTACAAAACCTTGACTTCCAACTGAACTTCAAAAGGACAGATTGTAACACTAGGGGTCACCTGTTTCCTCTGCACTGAATATGTGTGGATGGATTCTAAATCTGGGCCAGTGGCTTCAACCGGGATACGGCAGAATTTGGCTGAACGGGGCGAGATTCATTCCTGCCGGCAGTTTCTAATGAAGCCTAAAAACGGTGCAGATTGATAGAAAACGACAGACATGGCAATCCGTTCACATTTCATTGGAAAATGTTGATTGTACAACAATAAGTTGAATGACTAAAAGTCAGACAAACCAAGCCACTTTAAAAGATCATGGTCATCACCATTTCATACATGTTAGAGAATGAGCAACCCAACGATTATTATTTGACTGTAAAAAAAATGTATAGATTATACTATTATATTATACTACAAGAAGCTATTGTCTAGTCTGATAACCTGCAGATCCTTTTATCAATCAAACTAATGAGTTTTCTTGAAAGTAAAACGTTCTCGCCCGAGCAAAGAGTACCGCTCTGACACGCCCTCGCGTCACCAAGGTTGTGCACACTCAAAGGTTACAGTGGACAATCTGTTCACTCTGGTTCGCATTACATCATAGGCCCAGCAGCCTGTAAACCCCCCGATGAAACTCCAGCCAACCTCTGGGACATCACAGACACCTTTGGGACAAAGTGTGCACGGTCAGCTCATACCCAAACGTGCCTACCGCTGCTGCGCCGCCGTCTCTGTGAGTAACTCAAGTAGCCCCCCACTTATTAATACTTATTCCCAGCTTTGCCGGTGAAACATCCCTCTTAAATCCCGTGGGTAAGTGGACAGTAAATGTGAGAGGATATTAGCATAGCGAATGAGGAAGCGACGTCCTCTGGCTAATCATAAATGCTAATATATCCGGCTCCGTCCTTTCTCACGATGAGTTGAGCAGTAACTGAATGACACACGGGTCCTCTTAAGATTAATTATGGTAAATACTTCTTGGGGATCGTGGGCTTTTAAGGGCATTCGTTAAATCTGTGCGCTCGTTCTGGTTCCACTACAAAAGGTGATAATAAGAGCCGTGTATTCATTTCCTTCTATTGAAACCTTCACAAGAGAGTGAGGTCCATTTTTTATGCTTTTATGCAGGAAATGGATTGTTACTACCATGTTTTTGGCTGAACCAGCGATGTGCTGCCTGCGACTCGGTTGGAGATTTCTGTTGATGAGGTTGCCAAAGGGATAATTGGAGGAGAGTATGCAGGCAGGCAGGAATAAGGTCATGCACAGCTCAGGTTTGGATTTTGGGATTCAACCTGGATGCTTTTTTGTTTTTTTTAAAGCAAACAGAGGTTTGCCTGATTAGAGGTTCAGTAAACAACAGTGGAAACTAGGCGCCTAAGCAGCAACATAACGAGCGGAAACAAGTCATCGGATGCCAGCATCCAGGATAAAGAGACGAGGTGTTGGTTCCCCTGAAAAAAACAAGGAAAATCTCATTGTGTAACCAGCGCCAGAGTGTCGATAGCCAAGGCACAACTACTGAGTGGGGTTGAGTGAAATAGGACTGAGTGGATAGCTCGCAAAAGGAGTGAGGCTGAGTTTTATAAAGTCTTAAAAATGTGTGTTTCCTATCCCTTCAAAGCTGGATCGGTGACCTTCTCCTCCACCAGAATGGGCCAGAATCAGGGAGGAACTCCGGCTTCGCTTTGTTTTGGTTTTTTTTGTGATGAAAATTGCTTCTTAAAAAAGGTTTATCCTGATTAAACGTAGGACAACATCTGCACTGGTGCGACCTCGGCGTTTAACTGCACACCTCTGCTGAGGCTGTGCGATGAGCCAAAGAAAGCCAGCAACGGGCGGCCTATAATCCTCTCTGGACTCACTTCACTTCACAGTTCCACATTCAGGCGACACTCCCGTCTCGGGACAACCCGAAGAAGAGGACCAGAAAGACAGATAAAGGGGAAGTCGGGACAAGGACAAAAAAGCGAAAGACACACAAACAAAGAAAAGAAAATACCAGAAGCTCACACATGAGACTTGACAGGGTAGACGCAGGCGACAGTTGTGCTGACATACTGATGGAAATAGAATAACAAGCTTTGTGGCCAGCGGTGAAGCTACAATGGTAAGAGCAATATTTGCAGAATGCCTCGTTTCACCACAGAGCGGCCACAACTATCCCGAAGTGAAATGCATGGCCTGCACACGCCACGCAGCGTATGTGAGGAAGACCGTCGGACGGGATTTACTGGAGGGTTCTGATGACAGACTTCTACTGTGTCTCATGGCTTATAGGTCTCTCTTTATGCCACAAACACTGGTGAACTCCTTTTCAAGACAAAAAGGTGTGTGTCAGGGGGGTATTGATATTTTTCTCATAAAGATGCGAAAGCCGCTTTCATATAAATGATTATTTATAGCCCTCTGAGACATGTTAGATATGAAGAAACAACTATTTTCCTGCACGAGCCACGCAGAGCAAAGTGAATATTCAATTCAAACCATGCGGAGCAACAGGTGCAGGCGAGCGCGGCCCAATTAGCCCAAAAGCGATCTAGTCCCTCAGTGTTTTCAACCCCACAGACATGGACACAGAGAAGTCCACAGCAGCTCAGCTCAGTTGAGCCTTTGATCTTACCTCCAGTCTCTGCACCATCTCCCTGATGTCCTCGCCGCAGTTGTCGTGTGCGGACAGCATGACGCACTCCCCGCGCTCGTAGAAGATCTTGATGCTCATAATCCCTGAGGTCCACCCGATGACGTCGCGACACGAGCAGTTGAAGACCACGTTCTTCGACTCCTCCTCGATGAGCACGATGAACTCGTTGGATATGCCGAGCAAGCAGTCCACGTCCATCGACTGGCCAAAGTCCCGGGCGCGGACGCCCCAGGTGATGGCCCCCACGCTCCACAGATGTGCGTCCTTCCTGGGTTTCACCCTCTCCTTCTTCTTGGCTCCGAGATTGATGAAGCTGAATTTGACAGCCGCGTCGACAGTGGCCGTGCTGACAAAGTTCTCCGCCAGGTCCTTCAGGTACTCCTGCCGCGTGCGGGTCGCCATGGCTCGGAACTTCTCAGACTTGTGTGCAGCGTTTTCCCCGTTGATGACCTTGGCGAGCAGGAAGTCCCGGAAAACAGCCGACTTTGGGAAAGTCACAGACTTGGGAATGGGGGGGCCGAATGGAGGCACGTCTTTAGATCTGGAAACGGCCACGCTGGAAAAAAACAAGAGAGGAAACGAATGGATCACGAGCAGAGGTGACAGGCGGGAGAAAGTAGAAGAAGTGAATGAGCTTTGAGCTGCACGTGTAATGAGTGTTGACGGGATGTGGCTTTCCCGGGAAATGATTCCCTCGGGAGAAAGTCTGCGATGAGCTCGGATTAATCTCACTCTGTTAAATGCTATGTTATTAACCAGAGTTATCTTGACTTTAGAAACTCCCCGGGAGAGAGCTGGAAGTCGTAATTTCAAGGTGCCTCTGAAGATAATAACTGCATCATCACTTAACAGATCAAAAGAGCCCTGTGATTCCCGCACTTTACTACAAAGTCGTGACAGAAACCACAGAAAGCACTCGGCAGGTTATTATTATTCTTTCAAATGAATTGCCCTTAAAAGTTACACGTACAGCCATTTGGCATGAGGACGTTTAATGAAGAAAAAAAAAACACATTCCCGATCGATTGTCTTTAGGATATCAGTGTGCCCGTTATCCTGCGGTGAGCCCTAAGGCGTCTTTTGTTCCTTTGAGCATCATTCTGAGAGCCCACTTACCTGTAACAGACGTTGTCAGTGCAGGGGTTATGGACTTTGACGATGACAAACACATGCTGGAAATGAGAGCGGATGTGTTTTGGAGTGAACGGAAGGGCCCCGGGCTCCTGGAATACGATGGTGACGATGTCATTGCCGATATGCCTCTTCCTTAGTAACTAGAAGAGGGAGGAGAAAATTGAGTTAAATACAGGGGGGGGGAAGAGCATTACATAAAGGCTGAATGTGGTACAACAGTACACATCTTCTATGGCTTAGGGTCCATGGAGTCGAGCTGGACAACTGCCGGACGCCCACGTTTGGCACGTCGCAGTTCGAGGCAACGGGTCAGTTATCGCATACGTGTAAATGATAAAACTGTTTGGAATAAAGATGACGGCATCTATTTAGATTCCAACCGTAGCATCAGCCACCACACACTACTGGTGACACCACATGAAGCCCCGGAGCTCCCCGCAGTGACGGAGAGAGCTTATGAATTCATTTTAGTATTGTAAGGGAAAGAAAGCGTTCTTTCAAAAGTTGCATTGTGCTGCTGAGCACTAAACATTGGAGTTTGGAGAGCAGGTGTTGATGATGAAAATCCTCAGGAGAACATCCACAGACCGCCTGAAAGCATTCGAGCTGAGAAAAATAAAGTGGCGAAAAATAAAGTCCCAACAACATTGCAACGAGGAATGACAAATTGAATGTAATGTCTGTTGAGACCAAGATAAAGGGCTTTGGCTTTGGATAAGGGCAATGCACCCTGCTAACACAATTAAGGCTTCCTTCGGCAGGGAAGGAGACTTATTCCCTCAAAACCAATTCAGCGCGCTTGCACTGTTGCATTGTGCAGGTAGTTAACCTCATTCTGTGGCTGGTACAGAGTTGTCATTGAGGGTCAGCGGGAGGCGGAAACAAGCAGGCTAAGAGGGTTCAGAGGGGAAATGGAGAGGATGAAGAGATGAGCGAGGTGAGCTCAGCCCAGAGAAGATTACCAGCAGGGATTAAATGAAACCATCCCACTTCATGACATGCAATCTGATGAGGAGGATATCAAAGAGGAGGAATCCTGCCAATCAGACATTTTGCTGCTACGCGATAGATTACGTCTTTGCAGAGCTTCACCTTCAGAGTCTTCCCCGTTATCGTCTCTGCAGTTTACCCACGTGTTTTTATCATGGGCTCAAAAACCCACTTCAGTAAAAGCAGTGCAGAGACTCAGATGGTGAACCTCTGTAATCGCGGCTTCATCGGGGCACCGCCCGCCAGTCCACCGCCACATCCACTTAATTCCACCTGTTCACGCAGACAGACACTGGGGCCCGTCTAATACCACGTCCGGTCCAGCCCCCGGGGATGCATTGATTCAAAACCTACTGTGGGATACACGTTACCATGGCGATGATCATGCCTTCAAATGATTGGTCGTTACCGTGACAAAATGAGTCCCTGGGGAAGATTGGCAAGAGGCAGGATTGAAGACATCCTAAGAGGAAGCTGCTCGGGGACTTATTACCACCATTAGTCGTTGGCTTACCGCACAGTAAAGTAAACATGGTGGAAGGTGTGTGTGTGTGTGGGGGGGGGGTGTCACGGTTTACTGACCTGCTGCCTGTTGTTGGGTGTGTAGGGGAGCATGGTGGACACGTGGAACATCAGCTCATAGTCCTTGTAGGTGGTGTAGAGAGAGTGTATGCCTGTGGAGTCCGCTGTAACACAAAACACCGTCGTGTTGGGTGAGACAGGCGATGACGTCATGAAACAGAAAATCAGGTCTGGAGACGTATAGGCTTTAAAAAAAACAGGAAAAAAAGGAGCGGAGCATCTGCACTCAGAGGGGGGTCGGGATTGAGCTTGTGAACGTGGCGTCTCTTACTCTTGTTATCCAGCTGCGCCCTGTACTTGGTGAAGCCCTTGAGGCGCACCCTCTGACCGAGGAGATCCAGGAACTCCTCCAGCGCCGGCCCGGCACTCTCGTTGTTGTACATCTCCTCTTCTGTGCTCTGGCCCGCCTTGCAGTAAAGCACTCCCACCTTGTGCTGGAAGCTTAGCTGGAACGAGAAACATACAGACACTCAGCGGTTAAGTGTCATTTCCTGACGCCGATATGCATCACGTGCACCACACTCGCGCTGTACATTATGCACTCAAGAGCATGCAAGTGCATCACCACACAGCTAATGTGGAGGCCTTCAGGGCCCTTCTAAGAGGGAGCTGAAACCCCCTTTTGTGAAGCCGGGCTGTGAACTCTCAGGAGCTCTGAGCGGAGCATAAATCAAGCCTGGCTAATAGCTGCTACGTAAGAGCAGCTGTGGAGCGACGAGGGAGGGAATTACGGTCAGATGGGAGGGGTTTTGGTTTATGGAAAAGGAACTCGGTAGATTTCCTTAAGCAACATTTAGGAGGGGTTTAGTAAATTAGCAAAATATGATACAATGAACTTCTAAACACCTCACTCGTATCGCTCTTGATTCAGCCATTGTTCAGCAAAGAGCGCCTCAACGTCTTATTCACAAAGAGTATTTATAGACTTACAGGGGCCAGCCACACCTCACAGGCTTCCACTGGGAGCATTAACATGATCCAGAAATGACGGGTCTGACAGGAGCTTGTCTCATGAAGAGGCAAGAAGAAGGAAACATCTGGAGCGATTCTTCTTGCGCGACGAGAGCGAGAGCCCTCTCCACAAACATGAATCTTTGATGGCTTACATCTCCCTGATGCCGACTGAGAGTAAAAGGTGGGGGGAGAAATGCCACCCCCCCCCCCTCCTCCTGTACCCGTTATCTAAATTCACAGCAGAGGACAGTAGTATGTTGACCCGGGGGCAAACGTCTCAATACAGCGGAATGGGAAGGCTTCTCCGAATGGGACAGCCAGTAAATTGATCCATATACTGAAACAAATTGGGATTGGCTTTTCCCCCCCTCCCTCCTTTATGGGTGATCTGTTCCCTGCTCTGTTGATGACTTTCTCCAACAGGCAGCCTGCTCTACACGAGTGGACGGAAAGCTATTAGAGCATCAAGCCCAGTGGAAATGGACCGATGTGCAATGATGAGGTCTTCTATTTTTCATCCTGCATTATGCAGCCTCACTTAACCCCCTGCTCCCCCTAACAGACTGGCCGAGGGCAAGGACAATCGCATCGCCCTTTGGTGGCGCAAATTTGTCTCTGCCTGGAAAAACGCAGACACACCAGGATATATTTACGGATGAGTAATGCTTTTTCAGTGGCATCGGCCTGTGATGAGGTGATGCAGCCATAACACAGAACAAAAGCGGATCTTTGATTAGCTACAAATCTGGTAATAAGCTGCTAAAATGTGGCCATTTTCTCTCCTTAGATAACCTAAGCCCCCCCCCCCAAAAAAAATGTTCATCTGCCTCCTTCTCTTTCGCCCCAAAACTATAAAAATGCAAAGATGGAAAGATGCTTAATGGGTGGAGAGAGAAATGAGGACAACGCTCCCCTTGGAGAGCACCTGAAGGATACTGCAGTGCCCTACCAAAGACACAACATCACCGGCACATCTGTCTGCGCTGCAGTGTCCCCGCTGCGGCCAAATAAATCAAAAATACAGCTCTCACAACACGGCTGCAATCATCAGACATCATTACACACACACGGCAGTTTTTGCCATTTCTGGGGCGGAATGTTCAGGTTCTGCAGCGACAATTTAAAACGTGACGGTAAAATGAGGAGTAATCCATTGTGGCCGGGGAGTGTGGCTCTCGCTGTGGGCATCAGGGGGGATTCATGCTGCTCTGAATGCTTTGCCCGATAACTAAAACAAGTCACTTTTAACAGGTAACTTGGGAAGTTTGGCGCCGTCGCATATTCATTTTTTTTTTTTTTTCCCCACGTTAGGATGCATAATGAGAACGTTCTCTGTGAGGTAAAAAGTAATTTGTTCGGCATAAATGAGAGGGAGAGATGAGCAACCTTTCCCCGACCTCTTGGATGTTTTCTCTGCTCTCAACAAACACCGACAGCTGCAGGCGAGCTATCCTGCTCACTGCCTCGCTTATTTTTTGAATCGGTAATTATAAATCAAAGCTTCAAGCCAAGATTTTAGACTCCAGATGGAATCTTCAGATACACGTTTATATTGATTGCTTTCTGAGAAAGATTTGTGCTTTCTACAGCACATCTCAAAAATCACGTTAACTGCCTAATGAGTTCATCTGCACACAGACAGCCGGTCCGCTGATCTACAGCGTGATCGGAGTTGCATTCACATAGGCTCTGTTCTCCCCTTCCATCCAGGGCCTCACAACGCCGCTCCAAGGGATTCTCTCTCTGTAGAAGTGATCATGAGGTTCTTGTGAAGAAGGTGTGGCTGCGGCATGCTCATTGACCAGCTGTGTTCTCGGCTCATGACTAAAAGAAGCCTTTTGACACCCTCCCCGACACGGGGACGTGTCCTCAGCAGTGTGCGTACCAAAAGAAAAAAACATTATGCCCAAACAGGACCAGGCGGAGGCCTCTGCTTCTGTGCCTCTGAGCTGCAGCTCGTCCCGTCTCGCTCGCATCGACACGCTAAAAGCGGTGGCGGCATGAGTCCGGCGCGGTCAAAAAGGGAAGGGAGAGGGGGGAGGGGGCGTTTGGCGTATTAAACGTTTCCAGCGCGAGCACAGCATTAATGATTAAAGCAGGAGTGCACCTAAAATACCATTGTCCAAATATAAAACTGGCCTCCACTGGGCGTTGGGTTTGAGGTCAGCGAGGAAGCGTGCCAGTTGGAGGAGCTGGGAGCGCCACTTAGCCCGGACTCTCCTCCTCTGAAAGCAGTTTCTGCGATTACTTTCTTACCTCTTTTTTTTTTCTTTCTTCTCCTCCCTGTGTCAGTTTGGGTCTCATATCAAAGTCTTCATCTGCAGGTGAACAAACTCCTTGAGAACTGGCAGGAAGCACTTGCTGCCGCACACTTACTTCCGAGGTTATTACGCAATAATTGGATACGCGGGATCTGTCATCATCTTAAGTGCATTTGACTTGCTCTGGAGAGGACGCCACACTGCTCTTGTTTATGCGTGTAACAAAATCTTAATGTACAAAAGAGACATGGCTGACACTTTCTATTATAAGAGCTTCTCCCCTGTCAAACGGAAGGATGGGCTCATGCTAATGAATGTAATTAGCCCAATAAAGCAGCCGATTCTCTGATCGAGCTAATCCCCCGCACGCTCATCTTTCCATTTTTGCAGTTTCATTAGATGAGATATTAGAGGCCTTAAGATCAAACAATGAATCCATCTCGGACACCTGTGACTGTGGAGAGCCCGTATCACTAATGGCCATTTTATTCAAACAGAGATAATGCAAGGTGACATCCTCCGCCGCGCGGGAAGAATACCGAATCACCTGCTCTCAGATGAAGTAAGTTGTCAGGACGCGAGTTACTCAAGCTCGCGTCCACCAGCGGAAAATGTGTCTCAAAGTAGTCGATGATGGCTCCGCAGTGTGTGGGACTCATATTGATTCTAATTAAGTGCGATGTGGGCTGTCTTCTGCCTGCACGCGGGAGCCCCTGTTCATCTATAATAAGCAGCCCACATATGGGACGGACGTTTCAGCTTCCTTCTGTAGACGACGTGAAAGGTCAGAAACAGAGATAAGTATACCATGAATATGATATCTATGTATTAATATCAATACTGTCTGACTCCACCACATTTCTCATAATAACGATAGATTTTATGAAAAATGTTAAATGTGAAACAACGGGAAAATCTGTGCGGAGGAAATGACCAGCCTGCAGCTTTTTCTTATTTTAGAGTGAAGTATTAATACCACTTGTATCTGGTCGTTGAATATGAAGAGATACAGCCAGCGGCTGGTTGTACAGATAGCCTCGCTCTATCTGAAGGTAAGCAACGTGTTATCAGAATAAATGCTGGTTTTATGGGGCTTCTGTGAAGCACTTTTTCCTTTCCGGGGCGCAATGACTTCCTCGAATCTCGGCCAGTTGCCTGGCAACCTCCCAGTGACTCACGTAATTGACAGCATCCAGATAACTGTGTCACACCCCATAAACCAATGAATTAAAATGACGAATCTATTGCTCGTGAAAGCAACGTCTTCCCTCGCAAGATCCCCGGTCAAAGTTCCACGCCACAGATCGCTCCGGTGCCGCTCAATCACCATCAGCACGCGCCGGGGGGGCATCTCCCTGTACTCACCCCCTGCTCGTCCAGCTTGAGAAGCTGCTCCGGGACCTTCGGGGAGTTTAGAGCCAGCCTCAGACACTGGATGTTAATCTCGGGGATGACGTACTCCAGCACCTCCTTCAGCGGCAGGCCGCGGGCCGTCCCGTGTCTCGCAGTGGATGGAATGGCGTCCTCCAGGATGGCTCCACGGAGTGTCGTCAGCTGGCAGAGAAGACGATGATGAGCTTTCAGCCAGATAAGCAGAGTGTTTTATGAGGCCTTGATGTCGATTCGCATGTCGACGTGTTTTTATTCATTTGGATCTCGTCGAGACATTGTATTTTATTTCAATATCTTGGGAAATTAAATATCTAGCAGTTGGCTGTGGCAGTAACATTACCCTTTTATTTTGTGCCATATTATCCAGGGCGATGGCTCCACTGTGGCCCCGTTGGAAGGCATAACGAACTCCCATTCTGAATGATTAGGACAGGCTAACTGCGCGCAAGATGTTAAGCGGTATTTTACTAGTAAGATCATTAACATGCCGGTAAACGACGACCCCGAACAGCTTCAGAACACCCGCTCTGTAACACGCTAACTAGCGGCCACGAATCCCAATTCCAACCACGCAGCCCGTGGACGCAAACGCCAGCAGCCAACGGAAAGGCTCTTCCTGAGAGGCGGATCACACCGGCGCTCCAGCGGGTTGGGCAGCATCGACGCTCCTCGCAGGGCTACTCGTGGGCTTCTTGGAGGACTACGGTGACCCAGATACGTTGTTTTATCATGTACACCAAGATTGCCGCTGGATATCGGTGATATTTACCTTGCCTTGACACATCGGTCATGCCTGAATTATTCAGTGGATTGAAACCACCCCGCTTCAATCAAGGAAGCTTTCCGTAGCACCGGGGAAAGCGGGAAAGCTTTGAATATAGTTTGTATGGATAAACATCTTTTTAAAAGTGTGGTCTGACGCGTGGTGCGTTTTTGTGATCGAGCGATTGTAAATGGATGGTTGTGTGCCGATGGAGGACCACAGACGGTGCAGAATAACACTTCGGTGGGTCATAGTTACCTGACTGGTTCGGAAAGTGACCCGATAGTTGTGCTGCATCCCGTCCTTGTCCTTCCCATCGTCCAGCCGCTCCCTGCGGACGCTGACCGCCACGGGGCCCAGGTTGTCATCGACCCCAAAGTAGTTCTGATGCTCTGCGGGCCGTGCGAGAAACATTGGAATGAAAAAAGAAAACACATATTTTAACTTCATAAACGTCACATAATTGAACAACCGCTGTTTCCAATTCCAATATTTTAACGTGGATCAATGTGCTTATTTGTGTGTCATAAAAAGCTCTTTGTGTGTGTCGATTGTCCGTGGACGAGCTGTGACACCGATTACAGAAAGCAGCAGGGGTCCGGTGGAAACTCACTTTGGATTAAAGTCTGGCGTGTTTGTACAGGGATTAAAAAAAGCATAGCATACCAATAAAAACGGAACTCTGGACAGTTTGACCCACTCCGACCCCTGACTGACCCACATACGCAACCACAAAAAAACATTTAGAGACTCGTAGCAGTAAAGAATCACAGCAAAGCAGTATTTTAGGCATTTCTTGTTGTTTAAGAGGATTTGGTATTAAATATGAATTTGGGACAACGATTAAAAAATGAAGATGTTTTAGATTATTCATCTTAAAAAAAGATTAATTCACTATTCTGTCACTCTCAGATCAAGATATTAATAGTAAATGTAAAAGTATCTGGAATGCCATAAATTTATTTTGGGGTAATGTCTGGCAAGGACAACAAAGTAACGGTTTGAGGGGATTTTTAGCCTTTTTGGTTGAAAGCATTATAAACACCTGTTCTAATGTATGAGCTAACATAAATGCAACTCATCACAACTGCCCAAATAACGCAATCAGACACAGTACGAGTGCGAGTCTAAAAAAACGGCGGTGTGTGTGTGTGTCTGTTACGTAGGTGTGAGTGTATGTTTAGGCCACGGCCAGCAGTTGCGCTCTGCACACAAAAAGCAATGCCTTGAGCAAACAGCCCCTAATCCAGGCTAAAGCCACGGAGAAAGCCCTGGACTCAGCAGACAACAAAAGAAAGACTCAACCCACTGACGCTCGCAAAAGACACCCTCCCTCCCCCCCCGGACGTTTTCCACGCTGCATCCTCGTCGTGCACGTGTGTGTGTGTGTGCCCCATGTAAACATGCAGATCCGGGGGCAGAACGCACATCGGTTTGAGCCATTAAACATCTGCATGCAGGCCGGGCGGGGTTATAACTCGCCGGAGGAGATCACCGCCCGTTGGGGAGTCAGCGGAGTGAGGGGGAATGCTCTGTGAGGCATGAGGTCAGATAAAGGTAGCAGCCCCGGTGGCCCCTGTGCACGAGCCACGAGGCAGGAAAACCGACGGGCGAAGACGGGGAGACACGGCGGGTTGTAGAGGAAAGCTTTTTGTCAAGTCACATGTCACCGTTACTCATCACATGCCGCTGACAATTTGCCAAAGGTCGCAGAATGCATGACTTTGACTGTCATGTCAAATACTGCCTCTCTCCCGTCCTCCTGTCACACAGAAAGGCCATCAAAACTTTTTACGTGTGTCTTTACTTTTTAAATTCATGCTCTACTTCAGGTCACATATTGCTGTATACGGCACATATGCATAAATATATATATATGTATATATAGATATGGCCTGAGGGTGTGGATAAGAACACGGGACTGAAGAAACACTCCTGTTGCTAAGGGAAGGATGGCTTCAGGCAATCAATGGGATCAATGTTCAGCCCAGGTCGATAAAAACCTGCCCTGAAGTGGTGACACGCGGCCGCGTCCGTGTGAGTGTGTGACTGTGCTCGTGCCTGTTTGTGTGTGTGTGTCCGTTTATGGTAGAGCAGAGGTGATGACAGACTTGTCTCTCTGATAAAACACCTCATGAAAAAAGGGGCAAAAGCCACGTCGGCACACTGTGAAAAGGCCATTTTCTGTAAAAAGCCATGACAGGGGAACGACACCGACGGCCCCGCGGAGCCGTTTCGCAGGTACGCCGACCGGCTGAAGAGAGGTTAAAAGCATTGCAGCGGGGGCGCGGTAGGGGAGCGCAGCCTTCCCCGCTAAATGATTATCGGAGTAAACTCCGCAGTACAATAAAAAGATACCGTGAGCAGAGCGGCTCTCTGATGGCCTCGTTAACCGGAGATACTGAGCCTCGATTGAGCCCACAGACGAGCGCTCTGACACGGGGAGCGTCTCTTTGGGTGAAGGTCAGGCGTCTCTCCGGGTTTTAAAAGGTGAAGCAGCTGTTTTTTTCCTTTCTGGGGAGGCTCAAGAATGGGAAACTCAATCTGCTGAGAGCACGGACAGTGTGGTGGGGGGACACGTGCATAATGCGATGATGGGTCGCTGCTCTGCCACATAGGTGTTTTAATGAGGGGGAGCCGGGGGCCCGCGGCATAGTTTTACTGACCCCTAAAGTTTCATGGGAGGGGGGTTCTCACACCCCCGCGGCCTCGACAGTGAACAGCTGCAGCGCACCCTCTCGCTCACCTCGCTCCTCTCACATGACTGATCACAGCCACTCCGCAGGGTTCGGGGCGATATCACAGGGAGGACATGACCGCTCCCCTCCCGGGGAAGTGAAACGCACACCCTCGCACCCGACACAAGCTCGCTATTGTTCGGGCCCCCTCATCTCATCTGGGCCTACGAAAATAACCGGGGCCGTCAAGATATCCGAGCCCATGAGCCGAGGCTGCTCCGTGTGGGAACCTGCCCTCACGCGGCATTCTGCGCCGCTTTGTTTGAAGGGACCGGATTTGGGTCTGGAAAGTTTAATCATCGTCAACGTCGAGTCACGTCGACCTCGACCGCTGTGAAATATCAACTGTAACGTCGCACGCGCCTCTTACCTCTGCCGTAGAAGTACTTGTGGTAGTAGTACGCTCCGAGGTCGATGTGCTCAATGATGTAGCGCTTGACCTTCTCCCTGTGGATGGGCTGGCTCTCTCGAGGCACCTCCAGGACGGAGACCCCGGCGTTGGTGCAGTGTGAGCTCAGAGAGGACTCGAAGGAGCAGCTCTCCGACATGCCGCTGTAGTTGGCACTGTTGGCCCTGGAGAGCGAGATCCTCCTCTCGCCCTCGCCACCGATCTCGTTGCGGAAGTGCGGGCAGCCCAGCACGAGGCCGTTGCTCTTCCCGTCCCCCTCGTCCGCGTCCAGGTTCTCCTTGGGGTTCAAGTCCTCCCTGCTGCCCAGGGGGGACTCGAACATGGGTGCGTTTCCGCCGGTACATCCCGCCGCTCCGCCATCGGGGCACCCCGCTCCGGGTCCGGCCGCCAATGCTGCTGCAGCCGCCGCCGCCGCTCCGCCTCCGGGCACCGGGGCCCCGGGGCCTCCGGCTGAGGCGGCCGAAGCCCCCGTGGTGGTGTTCTTCCTCTGGTTCAGGGTGGCTCTGCTCGCCACCGCCTCGCTGATGATTAAAAGAACGCTCTGGATGTCAGAGTGCGCAGAGAACTTTTGGAACCTGAACGGCCGCCGGTCGTCCTCCATTGAGAGCCGCAGGGCGTCGCTCTCGCTCTTTATGGTCCGCAACTTCCGGAACAGAGACGTTTCGGAAGACTCCGACTTCAGGCGCCTCATGAAGGAGCGCTCGGGCTCCCGGCTGTAGATGAGGGAGTTGTCGACGTAGTCGTAGCCCGGTATGTGGACTATCTCGCCCCTGGCGATCTGCGCTGCCGTCTGCAGGCTGGGCGACAGGGAGGCATCGCAGCGCAGCAGCTCGGGGAAACCCATGGGCGGTATGCTGCGGTGGTCCAGCGTGTCCACCCGGTAGCCCCGGAGCATGGTGAAGAAGCCGTCTCCGCCCAGGCCCTGGCGGTCGATGGAGGACGTGCTGCCGTATTCGCGGTGCAGCGAGGCCCCGGTGTTGGGGTTGACGGCGTTCTGGTCCATTATGTCCTCGGAGTCGATGTCGCTGATGGTGACGTCGCTGTTGCTGCGCTGGCGGATGGGGTGCAGACCCTTCAGCGGCGAGTGGCCGAGGAGGTCGCTCAGTGCGTACTTGTCAGAGTATTCCACCTCCAGGCAGACCGGCTCGCCTTGCTCCAGGATTCCGTTTTGGAACACGGGTATGACGCTCTGGTAATTGGGCGACGGTTGTCCCTCCCATCCGTCATTCCTCGGCGGCCAGTCCGTCACCCTGGCCCTGACGCCCATTTTAGGCATGGCCGGATTGCCATTTGTTTTCCCTGCGCCTTCGGGTTTCCCCTGCATGTTGGGGCCCGGTGGCCCCATGTTGCCATTCAGGGATTTCAGTTTCCTGCTGAATAGCTCCTCTGACTGCATTGCTCTGGAGTATTCTTCTGGGCCTCCCACAATTCCCACGAGGTTTGATTTGTTGTCTGTCGCAGGGCTCAAAATACTCATATCCTGCTGGCAGTCTCCTTGAAGAGCAGACTTCCCCTCTTTATTACATCATGCGATTCACTCGCTGCTGAGCGGAGGCGGGGCCTCTCTCCTGAGTCGATGGAGCAGCCGTCGTCATAACTCACAGAAGGCGGCTGGCGCGACGATCAGCGCATAGTATTTTGGATGTCAAGGACGAGTGTCTGAGGGGGCGCGGAGGCACGGCGGTGTGGAGTCCTTCCTCACAGCGTGCCGCCGATGCAGAAAGACAGCTGGAAGAGTTGTACCTATGGCACAGACACAAACAACACAGAGGAGAACGTTAGCACGCGGCCAGAGGGTTACACCCTGGTAAAGGAGCCATTTTTTGTTGAAAACGTAGGGAAAAGCAATTTGTGTTGCTGAAAATGACCCAAAACAGGGCACATTCAGTTCTGCTTTGGAAATGATCATACTGCCGACCCACATCGTGGGTCTTTATCTTGCATTAAAGTCCATCTGAGGGGAATGCAGGGCCCCGCTCGCTTCGGAACAACTGCCGAGCGTATCATCGAATACGGCTAATTAGTGTATTTGAGAGGAGCTGGTACCATTATGGGTTTATAACAAGATAGATGTATATCTTTGCCGGTGCTTCCAGCCAATGCCTAACAGATGGCAATGAAGCAAATTACAGCAACAAGAGGCAGATGTTCAGCTAAATGTTCACATGTACCAATATCTGATCCAACCGCCCGCAGCATTATCAAGCTGCAAATTATACAGGGGGGATAGTTTTGCATATTCAACGGCAACGCCACATCGCCTTTTACATCGGATGTGGTTGGTTAGGAGGGAAATGAAGAACAACCCAGCACTGGCCATGGCAAACAAAATAGTATTTAATGCAATATAATATACACAAATTCCCTGAAGTAAGAAGCGGTGGTCCATTCCGCTGCCCTAACTGGGGGAAATAAGTTAGTTATTTTCCCCATGTTCACTTTTGTTTAACAGTGGAATTACTAAAAGACCAACGGCTTTTTATTCATTATCCGGAGAACAGGACAGAGGGAAGGAGAGCGAAAACGTATGTTGGCTTGTCCTGCAAAGGCAGATTTGTTCCCTTTTGGCTCTTTCAGACGCCTTTCACACTCAGGCGGTTTCCGTTTCTCACCCGCAACATCTCCGTATATGAATCGCGTGTAGAGCTTTTGTTAAACAGGCGCCTGGTTGGTTGCGTCTCCTTGCTCCGACTGCGGTGAACGATTCGACACAAAGTAACGTAGGCGCTCGCAAACAAAGACTACGCTGTCTGCTGTCGCCGAAAGCCAAAGGGGAAGTGAGCAGCTCCTCTTCCATCAACTGCAAACAAAGCTATTAGAAAGGCTGTAGGGGTCCGGGGGAGGAGCAGGGGGGTAAGTGACTGAGGTGTGACAACGGGATGGATTCGTCTTCGATGGATTCGAAACTGGCTTCTAAATGAGAGATCACATGACACCATGTCACAATGACTACAAGTCCTGCTACATTGACCTAAATGTTCTTCTCGTGTTCTTCGGGGGCTGGCTCCTTCCTCCCACTACTGCAATTATGAGAAACCCCCCCAAGAGTCACAGAGTGAAGCCTCCACATCACAGAGGCACTGGATTGCCAGTTTGGCTTTGCTCCACTGGAGATGAGAGACGCCGTTAAAGATATTGCCGTCGTCGCGTGGATTCGCTCGAAGCGTGAAGGATAAAGTCGGGCGTGGCCTCCCGGCCTTCGCTTTACATCCTTTCATAATATATTATGTTCCCGCGCAACTGTTTACATTCCGTTAATATGCAGAAGGTGAAGGGTAAACTATTTTGGGATGGAAATGTGGGTCAAATCAAGATTAGCTACAGGCCAGACTAGACCAAATGCACTGGGGAGGACTGGCAGACTGGCACAATAAAGTATGCGTCTCAGCCCGGGCCGGATACAGGTTGATGCATGCATGACCCAAATGTGTATGGATGGATTGATAATGATGCCTCCTCGGTTAGATGTAGTGACACCGAGACATTGTGTGGTGCCATGCGAGTGCATAATGTAGCGACAGGGAGTGTTCGGGGGAATAAGTTTGTCCCTTTAGAACTGGAGAGGAATGAATAATGGAATATCTGCCAGGTTGAAGTGGAGCTAACAATGCAAAAGCAGAGCCTCGATTTCGACTGTCTGAAAAAGAGGTCTCGCGGTAGATTTGGGTTTTATTATTTTAACATAAAGCATTGAACGAATGTGTGAAAGTTACAAATGTGAATTGATTCATTCAATACTTAGTAAAAATATTACTGATCAGGTTTAATTTTGTAAAGCATAGACATGTACACCGATATGTGTAGATACACGTGACCTCTGTTTATTAAATCCACTGATTATCCATCCACTCAGGACAGGGACCAATCTTCAGAACTGACCATTTCAGGGAAGATGTCGTTATGCCTCTGACTGAACGCAGGAGCACGGCAGCAACATGCGTGCAAGTACCGAAAGGGTTACGTCGCTCTGACAAATGTAAAAATCTAAATCAACCACTTGTTTTACCTGAAAATATGACTGTGACCCCATCAGTTTTATGACTATGGGCTACTATGATTTTGTTATTTTATTATATATATATATAATAAAATACACACACACACACACACATAAACACACACTACATGTATGTTTTATTTATTAAAAATATTACTTTCTATATTACTTTCTTATTGAAAGGCCATTGCTCTTTGAAAGCGTGGACGACGCTTCTTGGATTATCGTGCGATTATCATTTGCCCCCCTGTCCCCCCGTCCCCCCGTCCCAGTACTGCCGGGGTATTTGTGAAACGTTCCTGAGTGTAGAGCGCCTTCGAATAGTGAAACATCACTAGCTGCGCGCCCCGATTAACCCAGCTAACGTCAACCAAAATCCATCTCCGGTCTCGTTCCCGGTCGCGACGGAGCGGCCGACACCAAATGCCACGACCTGGCCGAAAAACAGGCCATTTCACACTCGCAATTAGAGGTAGTGAGAGCAAAATGCGCCACCTGTGCAAACAGCCTCGTCGATGGGGACGCTCCAACGGGGGCTTTGACGGATGACCGGCGAAGAGGCAAACAAAAGGAGCCGATGACCGTAACCCCGATGCATGGCCACACAGCAGCGTGAATGAGTTTGAACAGTAGTCTGTGACGGGCAGCAATAAATAAACAACACAATAAAAGGGCTGTAAACACCGCCACCGGCGAAAGGATTATTTTATCGTGTAAAATGGGAAAATCTGTACAAGTGTTACGTATTTAAACCTCGTAACGCATCACAGGTGTTACACAGCATCCCTGGTTCCCCTGAAAGCGCTTTCCAACCTGTTGTGAATTCATAGAATGTCTAAACAACTTTAAAAAAAACACAGGCGAGTAGTCTGTTAGTGTCTCGCCTCTCTACACAGGGTCAGCAAAGGGTTAGCTTGCCAGGACAGGATAAACCAAAGAACATGGTGGTCTGTGTTTCCCTTTCCTGCCTCCTATTAGCTACTTTCTCTGCGACAGTGATTAATGAACACAGTTGTAACATGTCTCATTTGACATCCACCCCCCCTCGAACCAATAGAGAGCCACAGGCTACTTGGTCTGCAGAATCCATGATCTCTGTGACCTGAAGGAGGCTGTTTTCTCTCCTTGGCTTTTTGGCCGTGTGTGTGTGTGTGTGTGTGTGTGTGTGTGTGTGTGTGTGTGTGTGTGTGTGTGTGTGTGTGTGTGTGTGTGTGTGTGTGTGTGTGTGTGTGTGTGTGTGTGTGGCAGATGGAGGGTAGGCAGTAACACTAACAGCCCTTTATTACTGGAGTATAATGGGTGTTTAAGACACATGGTGAACAGGGGGAGGGGACGGCAAAGAAGAGACAGGGAGAGAGAGAAAGAGAGACGGGGAGAGAGAGAGAGAGAGAGAGAGAGAGAGAGAGAAGGCCTGATTACAGTAATGAACCCGTTCCCTGTCTCTGACGTTGGCCGGTCCGCCCTTCATCTCGGATCACCCGGAGAGGAGCAGCCCAGCAGCGCTGTCAGGTCCTAAAATAACCCTCTGACATTGTGGCCTGATTAAAGGCCCGGCAGATATTAATATGCCGCGAGGAACGGTGCACGCTCTCCGTCCAACCGTCCTATTAAGTAATCGGCTACTATCTCGCATATCCCGCCTGAGCGGGGTGCACACGCAGCGACTTCTCATTCCTCACTTCTACAGCTCTTGCAGGTAGAACTGTGTTTTCGTCCAAATGGCCCACGTCCAGCGGATTGATCAGACTCGGTAGTGTGGCACATCGGGACATACTTTGCTCCTGAGTGAACAATGCAGCGATGAATGCAGTTTGTCTAAATTCTGTCAAAACGGAGAGATGTTCTACAAAAAGACGGAGCACATTTCAAAATACAGTGTCGCTTTAAACAGTTGCTGCAAACACATTTTTAACACTCAAGAGTACACAGCACTTAAGGAAATTATGAACACGCTGACTGCTCAGAAAGCACGGCCGTGTCCTAAGGCCTTCTAAAAAAAACATCCACCGCAAGCCCCATTTGTTGCCATCGTGGCCCATTTGAGGTGGCAGTGACTCCCTGAAAAGCCAAACTCGTCACTTGCCTTATACCCAAGGTCACGTTTCAAAACGTCTTGTGAAGCAACAATTTAGTCAATTGTGTGTCGAAATTGCCAAAAGTCACCTGGATGTCACAATTATGCGAGAAAAATTTGCATATGTTCATCCATCAACTGGCACAACTTACTGCGAATTCACTGGCGGTGCAACCAGCGTGCATGACTGCCGAATATCACAACACGTTACCATTATTCAAAAGACTAAGATAACAACACAAGAGCAACAGGAGGCTCTCAAATGAGGAGATCTAAGCCCTGCTTGAAAATATCATCCAGCGAACAGCCTGCCGCTCCTCAGGGCCAAACGTGTTCGTTTCAGCACCGCAGCCCCCCACCGCCCGACCCCCGGGGGTCGGGCGGTGGGGGGCTGGGGTGAACACAGACCTGTGATTATGGCCAATTACCTTTAATAAAGCTGGGCGTAATGGAGCCATATTAACGCTGCTCTGTTGGCGGGAGGCAGGAAGTCGTAGCTGGCCCTCGTCACCCAAGACGCCTCGACCTCCGGGGCCGAAGCCAAGCTGCGATGCGTTCGCCCCTCCTCCTCCCCGCAGCCAAAACTGGGGAGGGGGCGCGTTGAAGGTTAGGGGCGAAGATGATTACACCAATTTTCCAGCTCATGGACTTCATCTAGTGAGTCAGGCGGCATTGCGATGAGAAGCAGATTTAAGTCCCTCTCGGTGCCTTCAGACCCCCCCTGTTTGTTTTGGTTTCCTGGTCACCTGCCATCAGCCGATCGGTGATTTGCAGTCTGCAGCCAGTCAGACACTCCGAGGTGTCACACCTCGTTCACCGTGGACGCGGAGGAAGGAAGGACACCCGAGCAGAGCCTCAAGGCGCGTCGCTCACGCTTCACCGCCCCCGGCGCCCGATACCTCGCTAAACTCGCAACGGAAACAATGAATCGCGTTCCATGTCACGTCGCACTCGAGCACGATCGGATTCACGCCGCCCGCGGCTGCAGGGCTTGGTCCTCCGAGGGGTTGCTTTTCCAACAACGTGTGTGATTGGTTTTCCATCCTCTATTGAGAGCAGCGGTTCCAGAACCTTGCGGTGGGAATCTGACAGGGCGTACGCGATGGTTTAGTGCAAGAGCGATATTAAATTCATCCCATTTTCAGTCGGGGCGAGTAGGATGCAACCAGACGCGGGCATCTCGGATCTGATGGAAACGCTTGTGTTTCTGCTTCACTGGAGCGATTCTTTACCTTAACTGGTTCCAAACGTTGAGAAGAAGAGTGGAAGTGCTGAAGTGTGGAGGAGAGAAGCCAAGCAAAAGGCGTGGGAGTTTTGCCAAACCTTCTCAAAAGACATTTGTGCCATTAAACCACAGAACCAATTAATTGGGCAATGTTATCCTTGAGAGTTCACGGCTGGGGGCCTGGGAAACCAGCCATGCCATCTCCCCCAAGTGCCTCCGTAAGCAGAAAGGAAACCTGTCAAGGCTGTGCTTGTGTGTGCTTGTGTGTATGTGTGTGAGGCTATGAAAGTATGGACCAAAGAAAACCAAATTCACCATTTAACATCTTCCGCTTTCATCTACCACTCACACAATTCAACCTCACTGCAGGGGAGGAATCTACCACCAGCTGACCCTCAAATTAGCACTGACGCTGAAGCCCTGCCATTAATGGCCGAAACACCCTCCCCTCCCTGCACACAGCGATAACTACATCTGAGCCGGTAAGAACACAATCATTCGACTCCACCTTCTCTCATTGTGGACCGGACCGCCAGCCCAACGCCCCGATGCGCCGCGTTGCCTGCAGGGAGCAATGCTGAGATTCTAATGGCCAGTGTGAATGGAGGGTCACACCCTCAGTGGGCGGTAAGGAAACCAACAAATTGAGTTCCAGCCAGCTGCCTTATCGAGCCTGATACGTGGAAACTAACAGCAGACCATATCTGGCCTCGCTGGGCCTTACAAAGATTCACACGGTGGAGAACTTAACAACCACAACATTTATTTTTTAGGAAAAGTGGACTAACTGCAGGATAACGAATTAATTGTGTTTAAATGAGATTTTTTAATAGATTTAGTTTGTTGGTTTGTCGGCTAAAGACCAGGGGACGGAGTGGAAAGATGACTTTTCTTTTTAACATATAGGGTACATATGGGGGAGGGGACCATGTGTCCGAGAAGGTTTCAAAAAGGGCCAAAATGAGTCCCCCTTTCATCACAGGTCTTCTCCCATTGGTCTTGTTCAAGACACAAGAAAGTCCACTTCCCCGTTCTGCCACTCATCACCATCTCATCGGCCTTTGACAGTCTGCATATGTGCACTCTGCCCCTCGGAGCTAAAAGAGAAAAAGCTTCATACCCACTGACCCTTCAAACACGATCCACTGCAAAGTCACACCAACACCTGAGCTCCTGCCGACAAGACGCTGGCCGAAGAGAACGCAGAAAAGCCCACGAAGGGGGAAGAGAGCGATTAGGGGCTTTGTGTTTTCATCTCAGCGCACACAGACCTGAGCTGACCCAGCGGACCAAGAACAATCAGCAGAAGAGATTAAAAAATAAAAAGGAGGTCAGACGGAAACCGAGTAAACATGCAACCTCATCATCGGGATCTCGCGGGACCTCGCGGAGCTCTGTGGGAAATGACTTGACTAACGCCCCGCGTGCTCAGACTGCTGGAAAACACAGCGCTGCAGTGAATCCGGGACTCATCCTGAAAGAAGAAGACGACCTCAGCGACAGCGTCGGAAATTTGAACGGCTTTCCACAAAACTCGAGACAGCTGGACTGAGGGGAGGCCCTCAGATCTGCCCGAGGTCGCCGCCCTCCGGCTGCGCTCTCTCGCCACACCTCCTCCGTCAACAGTTTGTGCGCTCACGTGTAAAAATTAAAACAAAAGGAGAGACAATTTGCTTCACCCGCGGACCTCAGGGTTTGGGTTTTTTTGTTCGGACCCGTGGTTATTTCTAGCCGCTGCCTTATCGCCGCGGAGGCTTACGCGAGCATTAGTCTTGTTTTTGCAACACCGGCTGAGTGCACCCGTGAGTGCGCGGTGCTACGTGCGCCCAGTAGCTCCATTAGGAATGTCTAAATCGCCGGGGTCACCGGAGACCCTAGTCCATTATGCTTGGTTTAGGGATCGGTAAGTGTCCACCCAATGGAAACTGCGAGCGGTGAATTTCATTTGCACATTCACATCGCATAATGTCCACCACATGCTTGGTTACGGACAAAGGAAAAGGAGGGGGGGGGGGAGGTAGGGTCTGCCAGTAGAAAGTGGTTGGAGACACCATGTGAACTAGATGGAGGTGAAATATTTAATCAATTATGTTTATGCTTCACGCAACTGGAAGGCAGATATCTTTCACCTCCGTTTATCTGGAAAGTGGAGTTGAGAAGCACCGCGGCGTGTTTTGAAGCTACGCATGTCAAGGGTTCAAACGCAACATTTTTGCTTCCAACATAATCAGCGTGTCAGTGGGGCGTTTGGCAGGCTGCATGCTATATGCTATATATATATATATATATATATATCTCCAATACAGATGTTCTCGGGCTGCTTTAAGAGACCCGACTCGTAGCTAAGCGAATACTTTGAGAGAAAAAAAAACACAATGTATTTTACGCCTCAGCTGGACTGTTTCTAAATTCCAATGCCAGACATTGAGATGACTCGTTGATTAAAAAAAAAAATAGTAAAAAGTAAAAATATCTCTGGAATGACGACGACGGGCCAAGATTTACACAATAACCCACAGCGGTCTGTCAAGTGGAAGCTTAACAGCAGGCACGGCGCTGACGGTAGCTTCAAACAACCGACTGGGCCGAGCCATGCGGCCAAGTTGCGTTCTGGAAAAAAGGCCCCATTGTTCAAGTTGAAACGCAGCCCAGCACTGGTAGCACTGGCTGTAGGTAGCACGGGAGCGAGGCAGGCCGCCTCCTCCTGACTCCACTGAAAATGAGTCTCTCCTAACCCTGTCGGCCCTGCCAGCTGGCCACCTGCCCGGCGCCTGCCAGGCAGCACACCGCCATTGTTCTTTTGTTGTTTCTGGGGGGGATCTGAGAATTAAAATGGACGGGACGGCAGGGACATTGTCCTGTCCGGTCGCATTTGATTAGAAAGAACAAGCGACGCAAGGGCAAAAGAGGGCGAGTGGAGGGAGAGAGAGCGAGAGACACCCGTTCCTGATCCAAAACAAATGGATATCGGCAAATGGCACTAATGGCGTGGCGTTAGCGATGTTAGGTGACCTTAGAAATCAAACCGGCATCACGCGGCTCCCGTGCACCCAGTAGCTCCTCTGATGTTCCCAACAGAAGGAGGCCGTGTTTGTTCCTGGCTGCTCCAGTGGAGCCCCGCACACAGGAGCCCCGCGCTCGCCGTGGACCATCTGTCCCCCGAACTTGGCCGAGCCGCCGTGGGCCCTCTGCGACTACGGGAGGGGGGACAGAACGGGTTGATGTCTCCAGAATAAACCAACACTTAGATCAGCACACACACACACTCCACTCCTCCTCCTCCTCCTCCACCTCCACCACCACCACCATGCAAGCGCCGCTTCACTCTGCAACCGGCGTACCGATGACAGAGAGCACTCTCACGGAGAGGGAGGGGAGAAGGTGGTGGGGGGAGGACAAGGAGTAAAATGGGTGAGAAGAGCGCTGTTAAGAGTTGTGAGGGGTTTGGATCGAAAGCTCAAGAGAAACGGGCGCGTGACGCCGAGGTCAGCCGGAGTCCACGTCGCCACATTATCGACTCAACGGAGGAAGTGAGCGGGGCGACACCGCCAACGATCGGTAACCAACACACTAACGCGCGTCACTCAGGGGGCGGGACTCAAAGGCGCCCCGAGGGGCACCTTCCCCTCCTTCTCTGGCGCTTTTTAAAAAGTTTTGTCTTTTCACACTTCGGAAATCAGGGAGCGAGGCGGACAACTCTGACTGCTGGGCAGGATCCGCAGGTTTAGTCGAACGGAACACGCGGGGGTGAGAGGGGGGGGGGGGGGGGGTCCCGGAGACAACTATGAGACGGCCCACAAGCTAAACCTCTTAAGACAGAACATTGTCTAAAAAAAAACAAGACAGTCCTTGCGTTTCCGCTGTGCGTGAGCACGAGCAAGGTTGAGGTGAATATGTATTTTTATTTAAATGTCTTATGACAGGAAAACCAACCTGCCGTACTTACCGGATTAAGTCCTTTTTCATCAGAGCCACAAATCCTAATGGCGGAGGACTCAAAGCCCCGTGAGCCACAGTGGTAATGAGCCCCGCTGCAGAGATGCTATCCAAGTGCATTAAATCCATCCGCCACTTGTTGAGAGGAACCCGCCACGCTCCACGGCGGAGAGCCTCCGAGAGTAAACAACGGCCGGCCTTCCTCCTGCTCCTCGGCCCAACGACTAGTATGGGGAGAATACGGGGGGAGAGAGATGGAGGGAAAACAGGGTAAAAGTAAAAAAGAGTCTAGCAGCCATTGGGGGGGGGGTCACTTCAGTGAAACGCATACAGCTGCCCCCTTAGCGCACACAGCCCCCCCCGTGACAAAGCCACCAACCGAATGAATGGGACTGCGACATTAGCATATGTAAAGGAAAGTAGGTGGCTGTGCTGGGGGGGGTTCGGAAGGGCGGCTAACGTTGGGTGTTATGGGGGTGGGCCGTGACATTCAGAGCGTCGCTGGCTGATAGGAAGCACAAGAAAAAGTAAGGCCCCGGGGGGGTAGGGTGAGGGAACTATTGTTCCTGGGAAAAGATGCCCAGGTCAAGCCTGTGACCTTCTAAGTTTCTCTCAGCGGCTGACATTCGCAGCGAGGGGTGGGGGAGGAACCCACTTATCCGCTCTGAACTGCAGCCTGGGACGAAGGACTCTCCGACAAAACTACGACCACCGTGACCGCAGCGAGATAAGAGGAGACGGACCCGACCGCAGGGGGAAACGGCACTGCTTTCAGAACAGATAATCCCTCTCGCTTAATGCCATATTGCTGAGCTAGCAACACCTTCAGCAGTGGCCATAGAAAGAGAAAGAAGGGAGGGAGGCAGAGCGAGAGAGGGAGGGAGGGAGGGAGGGACGGTCATAAGAGGAAGGAAGAAAAATGTGCCTGCAAGGCGGTAAATAATAAGCGAGGGAGGTCCATTTAAAAAAGGTCACAACTCGCACTGCAAAGGCCCGGAGACGAGGAAGAAAATGCACAAAATCCTCTTTGCGACTTCCATCTTATTTTTTCGATCACATATAAAGACTTTTTAGTTGCAATTTTCGGCTGGCCGCGAGCTGGGCTCTCTGTGGCGGTCAAACCAAACGACGAAAGCGGTCATTTGATCAGCTGCTGCAGGCTGACGCTCGGGTCGGAGCGACGTGGACTAGTCCAAGCAGACTTGGGCCGTGGTTGAGATCGGTGAGCCGGGGATGGGCGAACTCGGGTGTTGGAAGCCAATAAAGAAAACTGCAGCCTGACCGACGCTAAAAGCTACACTTACCGGGTCATGGATGTGAGCGAGTGTGCTCACGGTGAAGCCGGTCGTTTTCTCAAACCTCCTCGGCCACATCAAGGCCCAATAGGGAGCTACTCTGAGGGGGTGAATTGCGTTTTGATGATAGATTTCTGCAACATAGTTGAGTTGCAGGCAGCATAATTGGAGGAACACTAAAAACTGTGTCATTGAAACCGCTTCCTGATGACTGCTCTGCTCCGCCCCGTGTCTGGTTGGAGGCAGGAGCATGTTAATGGCAGGAAATGACAGACTTTAATCAGGCTGAATGAATGGCACCGAGTGCAGGTCTTTGTGCCGCGTTCGCCTTTGATCTCGCCTTCTGCACGCAGCTTCTCGGCTTTTGATTGGAGTTGTGTGGAAGTTGTGGGGTGTTATTTGAAGAGTGGGAAGCCCCAGGAGGTAACACTTAGGAGTTCTTGTCACTGCATCCCAGGAAAAACAGACTATTCATCAGCCTACACACATCTGCATTCGGGCCTGCGGGGAGGCACACAATCCCCCCAAAAAGGCGCTGGTCGTTTGCACGTAGACGTCCGGGTCTGATGGGTAATTTACATACCAAGGGTGGTCATTACACAAGCGGATACACATGATAAACGGCCAACATTCACAAACACTAGATAAACATCTCTCAAAAGGCCGCGCGGAGTTGCGTCCGGTTGTCATCTCACTCAGTAGGGTTAAGAGAGGATTATCATTTAAGAAGAGGAAACGATTTAGCTTTGGATTGAGATGGGTACACGAGACCGGGGCAAGTTACCGGGGTAGTTTATGTTCAATGGAATAAGTTTGCTTCTAGATAATATGATTGTTTGCTTTCTGGCCGAGAACAATGAGCATGTGTTTTGGGATGTCCAGACGCGAGAGGACGGCTCGAGGTGGATTTGTGAAAGCGCCCCAGACGTCTTGAGGAGGAGTCGTTGAGACCCGACGGCTCACAGCACATTCGCATTCGCTCTTTGCCTGGTGTTAAATCACACACTCTCAGATCTGCTGTGTGTGAAAACAACAACTTTCTACAATCAACCTGGAAGAAAAAAAAATCTGAGTCAAGCTCTGTGTGGGAACCACTGTGCCGCGCGTCCTAATTACAGTACAGAACAGGCCAAAAAAGCAATATATGATCAGGCACTCAAGCTTCTGGGGGGGCATTTAATCATCCCCCAAGAACAAAATGTACCTGTAACGGCTTAAATCACCAGGGTGTGACACCGGGCATGTGACACATTTGCCGTTCGGTGTTTTTCAGTCCTGCTGAGAACGGCGGGGTTCTCCTTAGTTATGCCGAGAGGAAGAGGAGCCGTTTAGGGAAATGGCCGGTTCCTCCCGCAGAGAGGAAGCGAGGCAAAGCAGCTGGCAGGCAACAGCCAGACGCGGCATCGCTGAATGTCACCTCTCCTCCTCCTCCACCCCCCCACACCACCACCACCACCACCTCCACCTCCTCCTCCTCCTCTCACTTTGTTCACTGTCTGTTGTCTGAATTCATCAGAGAGCAGGAGACTGAGCTGCCCCTGCACTGCCCGCCTCCCTCCCCCACATGCCACTCCATCCACAGTAGGGGAAGAGAGGCAGCGGGAAGGGGGCAGCGGGCACATGAGGTGAGGGGGCGGAGAGTAAACAACGGCTTCGCATCCCCTTCCATGTTGTTGCTAGGCAACTTTTTCCGCATGTGACAGCCTTGAGTGATCGCAGACCTCCTCTCGCCGCAGAGACGGAAAGTTAAGGGAGGGCGGGGGGGAGGAGCGGTGCAGAGGGCAGCGGAGAGAGAGGAGCGGTGATCTGATGAATACGGGGAGTCCGCAGCAACACGAAGCAATGGAACATTTGGACAGGTTAAAAAAGTCTGTGAAAAAGGGAAACCAAGGTGACCTCAGAGCAGTTGTTCCCAATCTCGGGGGTCAAGGGTCACCAGCTCGACCACCAACATCAAACCTACAAGCTGCATTTTGGCAGACACCAATAGATCCAGCAACACCGAAGACACCCTCCACCCATAGGGTAGATAATAAGCCGGGGCTAAAATTAGCAGGTGAAAAATAATCAGTGGAAGTTTGGCAGAGGAGAGCGTGCCGGCTGCCAGATGGGGGACGCTGCTGCTGTGCGGGTGGGAGCCGAAGGGAGCAGGCAGCCGAGGAGCAAACGAAAAGTTGACTACTGGATATCACATTGTGCTCAGCGGTACGAGCTGCCAGGGCTTTTAAAGATTTACCAGGATGCCGGGTTTAGAGCTGGGCCGTTACAGTGCAAACAAAGCGTTTATATACTGTAGGTGTGTCGTGTGATGAAACATTGTACAGGATCTGCACCAAACTAACGACAACAAACAAAGTGAAGTCCGTGGCCATCTGGAGCGCATGTTCCAGTGCAGCAACTTCCTCCGGTAATTAATGAACTTCTCCAAAGGGAACGGTCTGATTAAGTGAAAAGTCTTCTTATTCTCCAGAGGCTTTGTTACGGAGCTCAGAGAGAAAATCGCTCCGATGTAGAATTCCTGAGAACTAGGCGGCCACTGGTTTGTCATGCAGCTGGCATCTCTTTTATGGAGTCACTTTCAAACCCCCCCCCCGAAAAGAAAAGTGCCATCAAAAACATCTGTTGCCAGAGCAGCCGCCCAAACAAGAGATCCCATATGTAGGCTACGACCAACATGCTAAAAACATCAGACAGCTGAGGGCGGGACAGTTGCATGGAGGAGAGGACAGAGGATATGATATGGAGTGGTGGGATTAAAACCTGAAAAAGTGATATATATATATATGTATACATATATATATATATATATATATATACATATATGTATACATATATATATATATATACATGCGCTGGCGCAGCTATATTTGGGACGTATGCGATGCCCTAAACGTGCACTCTGCTAGCACTCATGGCAGCCTAAAACACGGCGCATCATTAAAAGGTGCGAGTGCTTCAGTGCCGTCTGCGGCCCTATGAAGCCAGCGAGGGGGAAGAGAGAGAGAGAGAGAGAAATGGACCAAGTTATTTCCATTCCCTCACCCCGTTTATGGAAACATTATTGGAGCATGGTTCTGTTCTCACGGAGGCGAAAAAGATTCATGGAGTGAGTGCGAGGCACAGGAGGGAGTGGAGGAGGAAAAAGGAGGCGGGACTCCAGGAATGTTGTTTTTAGTTGTTTTCTCTGGAAAAGGACCTCACTCCGTGTGTGTCCCTCATTGTGAGGTTTTCTGCGGCAAAGGCCACAACGGTTCCTCCGTTTATCAATCCCGAGCATCGGGCCTTATTGAGAAAATGTGACAGGGTGACACGGCTTTTCCCCTGTTAACACGTTCAGCCTCGCGCCCCCCGCACACAATCTCCCGCCGGAGTGAGGGGATTACTGCCGCCGATAAAAACTCGGGCCAAAAAGAAAAATACTACATCTGTTCCTTACATTTGCATTTCTTTGGTCGGCTCACAATCGGCACTTGACTCGATGGAAAGCGAACATTGTCAGTCAGCCGTGAGAAACCCACCCAGTCAATGAGGCCCCTTCTTCCTTCTTCCTCTTCCAGCCGCCGGTTGCTCGAGCCAGGGCAACGGCACATCACAAGGAGCAGCTTGCACATACAAAAAAACACAATCTGTCAACTCGGAGGCCACTTTTATTCGCCCTCATCAGTTTCTATTTACTCAGTGTTCTCGGGAGCAGAAAAGGCGGCCGAGTGCAATTCTAGGACGCCGCAATGTGCGCCATTCAGCGGCTCTAATTGCAGAGTGAGGGGAATTTTTGACATCTCTCGCATTGAGGCCTGACAGCTGCAGCTGGCATGGCATGCGGTGGGTGTGTTACAGGGAGGCGTGGCGGCTGAAAGGGTGTCAGGGACTAACCCC